AGGTTCTGGAAACAGCAGTGGGACCACAAGATGTATATCAACCAAAGTAGTGCTACATTTGAAAGAATGGTTAGGGGGGTTGAGTTGCCAGGAGAAAGGTGGAAGCTCCCCACGTTTCGACAGGGCACATTGAAGAGCATGAGGCCACCATCAATCGTCCAGTACAGGTTCATCCAGAAATTGTTCCTGTTGATGAGAAGAACCGGGCACCTATGGATCAGTGTGGTTGGTATGTTTGAAAGATTGACACCATTTGATTTTTTGTTTGAGTCCCCATAACTTATTTTTATGTTGCAATGGGGTGGGGCTTATACTAAGGTACTTGCCATTTTGGCCCTCATTGCCCAGAACCAGAATGGGAAAGACCTTCCTTGGGACCAGTTGAAGCGATGCTGGCTTCACAATCGAACACCCCGCTCCCCATCATGTAGCTCCACTTGTGGCAAGATTCTTGAACATTCAAAACGACAGATTACAGCCTTCAGGGAACACATTGGAATCTCAATCTGCGTTTTCAAGATCGGTGTGACGGCGAACCCAGCCCAAAGGTTCATGGACTACCTTCACAAAAATTTCACAGAGATGTGGGTTGTTTATCGTGGCCCAGATTTAGGATTGGTCCATATGTTGGAAGCTGCTCTAATCGATATGTTTCACCAAGTTTCTGGTTGCAGAAATGCAGCCCGTTCTGGAGGAGAAGGAGGCCTCAATAGGAAAGAGCATTTGGGACCTCCTTTTTATGTTTACATCACAGGAGGAAGAGCTGACCAGCCGAAACGTGTTGGCTAATTAGTTCCAAGTACAAAGTTGTCATTTTTGTATGAGAATATGACATTAATTTGCCAGCCCAAATGGAAACATGCAAGATGCCACGCAATGAAAAAAGTATACCACGCGGACCCTTTGCCCCCGTCCATTTCCTACCAATGTTTTGATGTTTTTACTTTTCCCTGCGATAGCCCAGCCCTGCAGAATTCAAGTGCCTGCATCTTAGGTGCGCAGAAGCTTTGAGCCTGTTCACGCGATCGCAGCCACTTGATGGACGATTCAGCTGGGTATGGGGTGCATTTCGGCTTTAGTAATTCCATCGAACTGTTACTTGTAGAAAGGAAGTAGCCAGCCCAACGAATCAAACCTAAGGCCTTTCCTGAGCCACCTGAAGGGCAAGCTTCGGAAGATGGCAAAGGACGCTGAGAAAGAGGAAGCTCCCCCAACACCAGCCCCAAAGAGAGGAGCGAAAGCTGAAGTGAACCGTAGGGGAAGGTAGTGGGCATGTTGCTGTCATTTGGATGCCCCTTTTGGCAATGCTGTGTATGTAGCACGTCTTGGCAGTCGCTACAGTGATAGAACACCCATGTTCCCAAAATTTCATAAGATACGAACTCATATGATATACATGTAACTTGTTTGGGGAAACATTGGACCTTTTTTTGTGACTGTCTCAAGTGCTCTCTCCATGGCAATGGGAAAAGCAAGGTTTCAATCTTTGCTTGCTGGGTGATGAACATCCAGCCAATACGGTGCCATATGCTATATCACCAATTAAAATCTTTGGGGAATGACAATGTCGCCTCCTGGCCCGTGCCGCATGGGCCTCTGGAGCTTTGATGTCGCGAAAGAAACCACCTTGGGCAAAAGCAAGTGACCGGTGGAAAGGGTTTGAACAAATAGAAATTTATCATTCCCATGGGCACTTGATTATAAGCAAATTGCAAGTATGTGTGGTGTCAGTATTCGTGGTTGTTTCATTGGGGGCCCCTTGTAAGTGGTGATCTATCACCCTGGCATTCTGTCCGAGTTTCCCGTAGCAACCATTGAGGGTTTGCTTATCCTAGTGATCTATCTTTTAATTCACCTTTAGATTGGAGGTGAATGATGAATTAATAACATATATTATTTCTAGATATACCCTGACAGTGCCAGGTGCAGAGCATGCGGAACCAGGCCCCTTGCTCACCCACGTGGTTGATACTATAGCTGAGGGTGACCCTCGGCTTCAGTGTTGGTTGGGAGGATGCATGGTAACCTTCTTCGAGCTGGGGGCTCTTGGGGCAGAGAAATGAAAATTTTCCCGGGACCGGTTTTTGAAAACCACCTATTTTCTGATGAGAGTTTGAACATCAGAATCATTGGTGATGATTGAATTCAACATGATGACCGCTACGCCCATAATCCATGCCTCTTGCAAACGAGGCTCCTGCGAAGGCCTTGGTAGCCCAAAGCCAAGCTCTGCGTGCAGAACTCCAGACCTGTGACGTGGGAATGGTGCTTCACGATTCCACCCAGAAGGTGCTGCATGGTCACGTGGCCAACTCATCCAGGCAATTCAAGAGGGCTGTAGGCCGATTTGGTTTTGCGTTGAACCTCTTCTCTAGACAGAGTCACATTTTATGTATACATATGATATGTTATTTTCAGCTAGCATGTGCATGCGGAAACTGTGAAATCTTTAGCTCAGAGAATTGACATTGGAAATATGGATTTCAAATTCAACTGGATGGGTTATTCTTCCCAAATGATATGGAATGCATTCCTCGTAAACCAGTCTATGTGGATGTCTTTTCGTGGGGGTGACCCTTCTTCGTCTAAGGAGAGTTCCAATGTCATACCACTTGGTTGAGAAGAATGGCTTCAATGTCAACATGCCGTACCATAGTCCCAGATTTCTCTTGAAGTACCTGATGGAGTCTGAACCGTGGCTTTTGCTGGGAGGATTACCACCAGGAAGGGATGCCCAACAACTTCTGGAAACTTTCTGGAATGCTTACAGATGTGAGCATCCATCTCATGAAGTATATTCCCGGCAAGATGATTTCAGATTTATTATCCCTCTCACACTTCATGGTGATGGTGCCCGTACCTTGAAGAAACAACCTCTGGAAGTTGTGAGTGTCCAGCCCGTACTTGGTTTGGATACTATGGAAGCTCCCTTGACATGCAGTTGTGACAACCCGACAACTCATTCTGGGGCCGACCTTTCAGACCCATGTTGCCTACGATTGAATTCCAAGCACAACAGCTATCTCACCCATTTTTTGCTGTTTGCATTCCCCAGCAAAAAGTACAAGAAGTTACCGGGCCTTCTGGCAGCAATGTTGGAAGTTGTCTCAAAGGACCTTGCAGCAGTGTGCACTGAAGGCGTTCTTTGTCAAGGCAGTCGATACAAGTTTGCAGTACTTGGGATGAAGGGGGACATGGAGTATCATGCAAAAACCGGACTGCTGACACGATCTTATCACAATGTTGGCCATAAGAACAAGATCAAAGTATGTCATGAGTGCCATGCTGGTGCACCTATGATTCCGTTCGAAGACTTCACTACAGGGGCGCATTGGAAATCCACCCTGTACGCAGATGTTCCATGGGAAGAGCCACCCCCTTTTCACCATATCGAATATGAAAACTGGATGTCAGGGAAGGCTGCCAGCTTCTTCAAGCGTGACCCTCTGCACATTTTTCGGCTTGGGGTGGCCAGGAACTTCATTGGGTCTAGCATCTTGCTGTTGTGCTTTGAAGGCTACTTTGACACTGACGATGATGGTTGTGATGGGTACTCAGTGGATAAAAGGCTGGTGAGAGCTTGGGCCAATTTCGCACTTTGGTCTGACACTCAAGGTATGACTTGTTCTGGCATCAGATCGTTTAGCCGTGACAAGATCCACTTCGCCAACTCAACATCCTTCCCATGGGTCAGTTGTAAAGGCAGTGATTCCATCATCCTGTTGAAGTGGCTTGATTGGTTTACAAAGCTTCACCTACTTTCCAGTCCTGACTCCCGCATTCTGCAAAAGATTTCCAATGGTTGCGTCAATGGCTTAGCATTCCAGTGCATTCATCGACACGGCATTTTCTGTCGTTTCCATTGCAGGGAAAAATGATGAAGTCGTGCAAAAGGTTTTGCTGTGCCTACGCGGAGCTTGCTCAAATCTGTTTTAGGCAGGGGCGGACATTGTTTGCCATGGTGCCAAAGGCACATGCTTGGGACCATGTGGGGCACAGTTTGGCGCTTTCCAAGGCTGCTGGTCATGTTATGACTGTCAATCCCGCACTGTGGGATTGCTCGATGGCGGAGGATTTTGTGGGAGCAGTGGCGAGGCAGTCACGACGTATATCGCACAAAAACGTGTGTGAAAACACCCTTTTGATGTACAGAATCAAAGCGCGCATGGTAATTAAGAATTTCAAGAAGAAAAAACAGTGGCGACTCTGATCTATGATTCTTTTTTCCAGATTGTATCAGTTGATGTCTGCTACAGAATATGCAGTAGGGTGGTCACAGCCTAACACCAGGTTCGCCACTAGTTCTGTAATGATTAATTCGAACATTGAGCTCTGCTGCTCTCTGGAAAAAAATGAGGCCCTGGCTGTCATTGCCCTCTCATTGGAGTTCATTGACCATGGGAAGCGGCAATGTCCATACTGTTTAGTATGGAGTGTTTGCAGTGCTAGCTGGTGAAACGGCAATATTTTGTTTGGGAACATTTTCCTCCATCCATATGTGGGATAATCTATCCACGGGTATCACCCATCTATATCAGAAATGTTTGGGGTCACCACTCACCACTTCTCATGTGTTGTCGCTTTCTTGCCAACATGTTCCTCAACCCAGGAGGCCCGGCCGGCAAGTCATCCCAAATGGTATGGATGGATATTGAAGGATCATTTAACCTGGTAAGGGGTTGGTAAAAGTATCATCAGAACTTACAAGTCGCTAACATAATCCATTTATCAATGGGATAAAGTCCAATGAAGGTATTTAATTACTAGCCATGGCAACCAACCACTTGCACAGTGGGTAATCATCAAACAGTGGTAAAGGATAGTAAAGGCTTTTTGATTTTTCACATTGAAGGTTCCTATTATTTATGGAAAACCCATATAATATTCTTGGTGATGAATGATGTTTCATGAAGCCATTGAAAACCACTTGGTGGGCAGAGGCGTTTTTCAAAATCAGAGGCGATTCCTGAAATTAGAGGCTACAATTTCTGCCTCTAGCATTAGAGGCTAAAAAAGGCACCACCGGATGATTCAGGTATATATATATATGTATACATAAGTCCGAGTCGCCTATTGACTAGGCCTACTGATGAAGCTGTCTCAATCTCGCAAGGATGTTTTTCCTCATGAGCAACGGACTCAATCAGCCGCTTCCTCAAGAATGCCTCAAACTGGACGACCAGGGGCGAAAAGATGCCGAGAGCATCTGGGAGCTCACTTCTTGATAGTGCCCTTCAGCTCCACAGTTCCCTCGTCGATCCCGTATTTCTTAATGACCTTGCGGTCATGAAGCATGTCGAACTCCTCAGTGGCGTCCTTGCCAGCAAACATCATGATGGACTTCTTCCCGCCAGGGTGCTCACCTGAAAGTCATCCAAGCTGGTCAACTCTGGTGCAAAACTGATGCAAAACTTGTAATTTTGTCGAATCTTTGCGTGTGCTTATGTATGCTTCCAGACCTACCTCTCTGAGCAATCAAACCCGCAGCATGTGGCAACAATTTGGCAAAATAATATTATATAAGTAATAAAGGAATGCGGACACGCTGACATGTCTCTTCCTACATCTCGCTACAATGTTTCACCCTTTCTGCTCATATTTTTCAACCAGGAAAAAATAGAAAGCAACGCAAAAGAACAAAAGAACACAAAAGATGAAAACTAAGAAGTGGAAAAGAGATAAAAAGAGATGAAACAACTACTGAGTACTGGTTTCCAAAACAGGTGACTCAGGAAGTTGGTGACGTCAAGCACCTGGTCACCCACAATGACCCAGCAGTCCTTGTCGGTGTTGTGCTTGGCAACCTCCTCTGCGCTGACTGACATGCTGACTCGAGTTGGCTGTGGAAAATCAGGTCACCAAATCGAGCTACAAACTTGCTGAGCCAAAATGAGTTCGAAACATATCACTGCTTTTTATGCTCAAATTCGATTTGACCACTCTGATGGTGTTGTTGAATGTTTTTGAGCGGCTGTGAAAACTCAAGTTCCTTCAATAGGGCATCAACAAATTTAGGAAGGTCCCTTCGCTTACCATACGTTTGTACATGATTGATCATGATTGATATTCTTGATGTAATGTTTGGGAGTCTCTAAAAAAATAATCCAATGAAAGCGGTCAGCCCGGCAATCAATTGCACATTGGCAACCTTTGCATACCCTTTCTTGACAATCTTCACTGGAGGAATCCAAGAAGCAGTAGCAGTAGCAGCATCAGCAGTAGCAGCATCAATAGTAGCAGTAAAGTAGCAGCAGCAGTATTCGCAGTCGCAGTCGGGTAGCAGATGGTAGCAGTATTGGCATTGGTAGCGGTCTTAGCAGTAGCAGCAGTAGACTGAGGCGGGTCTACAGGTGTCTGAAGCACAAATGGGAAGGTCCCATCCCTTGACTCATGTCTTTCCGATTTCTGAATACCGATGTCCATCCAATATCGCCCAATTCATAGTTTGTCTTCCCTAAAATTTTGCGGTGGCTCACATAGGCTTTCCGCGACAGGAGATCCTTTGTTCCCAAGCAAATTCATTGCCACTTCAGTTGATCACCCATGTCCAATTTTCATCAATTCTCAAGCTTTTCGCACGAGTGAGCAGCTGGGCTGTGTCTGGCTGAGTCATAAAGCTTGCAAGGATGAAAAAGCAGGCTAGTGGAACGATGAAGAAATTGCAAAGAAGAGTGTCACTTTGTCCTCATCACTGACTCATCATATAAGATATTGGATTGTTCTTGTCAAACAACTGGTTGATATTGTTTGATAGCATTGGTTCCACTCTCGGAAAGTAGACCGGCACTGGAATGAAAGCAAGTTGGCGCTTCAGTCCTTTGTGCAGTCCCAAAAATACATTATTTCCTGCGTCCTGCTCCTCATTCAAAAAAAAGAGACTCTAAAGTCTGGGCGCAGCTCCATTTTGGGAGGAGGAGCCTGCTCAGCTTTGTGCATGAGCAAGTCTCATCTGATGGAGTCCCAGCTAGAATCTCAGGCAGAACAGCAAGCACTATACAAGGCCAGATGCGTAGGACGGCGTAGGAACATAGGACACCAATCTGCTGAAAATTTCATCCCGAGACAACACCCTTCAGAGTAATTGTTCCTTCTTGAAGGCCATGTTTCTTTAGAATACTTCTGTGATGCACAAGATCAAAGATCTCCGTGGCATCTCCACCTGCCAGGTTGAGGATTGATTGCTTTCCACCAGGATGTTTCGCAACATACTTGGAAAGGTCCAGCACTAAGTCTCCAATGATGACCCAACAATCGCTCTCCTCCTTGTGTTCAGCAACTTCCTTATGGCCTATTCTTAATCTGAAGCAGCTGGGCAGCCGGAAAGGCGAGAAAGGACGGGACTTGCTTTGTCCCATTTGCCCAGCGGCCAACCCGCGGGCCCTTGGGCTTTGATGTGGTAATGCTGAAATGGCCGAGGTGCCGAGGTGCCTGATGTCAAATGATGTAATGAAAATAGCAAAATACTTAAAATGCAGCATGGCCTCGTGTGTGGATAGAGATGGCAGCTAGTCAGTAAAGGCCACCCGGGAAGTGTTGTTTTTGAATGGCTTCTGTTTGGAACCCTTTTGAATGTATGGAGCACCGGTCAAATTGGTGGTGGCAATGTACAAACGCAAGTAAACTTCCGTTGTTTAGATGTGGAGTGTGTGTGTGCGTGTATGTATGTAGTATGACAGACACGCACACACACACACATATATATATATATATATTCTATGCATATAATGTAAGACACATTTTACAAGTTTTTACATGTTAGTTGTGCACTTGCACATGCTCATATTTCACAATCTCACATTTCCATACATGTTCGAGGTCGTGCCTGGAAGTCACGATAGTTGGACCTTGGCACAGGCGAGAGGAACAGCAGAAAAATATCAACTAAACACTAAACAATACTAAACATAACTATAAACCCAAAAAAAAATCCATAAACATCCGTAAAACACCAGAAGGACATTGCAAGAAATGGCATGTGCTGGAGCCTGGAGCAATGGAACTGAGGGGGTCTCTACGAGTCAATCATCAAAATGACGAAATGTAGAGAAGTGTAGAGAAGGATTCAGAAGGATGTTCTAAGGCGTGGGGATTTAGAGTTCCAAGCCCTGCAACATGGCTCAACAAATTGTTGACTCGCGTTATGTCATGGAATTTTGCAGCCGTTTACGCCAGCCTCCTCATTTTTTTGAGGAGGCCTGACTCATGTTTTATTGTTTGGATTGACAACCTAAGGCAGTTTGTCGTTGACGCGGCCGACTTTGTAAATTCCTCACCAGCCTTCTGTCACTGGACAAACTCTGACATGTTCATGGCGCAAAGGTAGATTGTAGGAAAGTATTTGAACATCTCATCGCTGCTTAGCCAAAACACTCCATCATTGGCCTTCACAGGATCACAAACTTCCTTGACCTCAGGAAATTGCTCCCAACCACAACCATCGTCCGTCCACATGCTGGATGTGCATTCACCCTCACCCCAAGGGTTACGCAGTTTCACCAAATCATGCCCAGAACCAGCAACATTGTTGAGGCACGTGATCAATGTGTAGGCGTGGCCATCAATGATTCCGTTGACGCTGCTAGAATTCGAACCAGAACGCGTTCCAAGGGCCATCATGTAACTTGCCGCATCCCATGCACACATTTTTTGAAACATCTCGTCCTGTTGACATTTCAAGCCCAGCTCACCACCGCCACCAACTTCTGGCCATTTCATAGGCCAAACACCTTTTGTGCCATGCGGCGAGTTGCTCATAGAGTCCCACTCGTTCGTGTTAGGGTTGAAGGTTCCGAAACATTCAAAACCCTGCCCAGAGTTTGTGAAGGTGTACTGATACCTGCAACCGGTAAGTAATCGCCAAGCATGCGTTGGTTGACCGCCCTCAATCTGATCCCATCCACCGCAGTGGATGGCCACAGCTTTCTCCACATAGCATGGCCAAAGTTCACCGTGAAGGCAGGGAAAGCAGCCCAAGATTCCGCTGCTGTCTGGCAACGTGCAGAGGCGTTCGTCCACCTCTATATCCACGGGGTGCCATGACTCCAAATCGTACAGGGTCACCGTGTATGTCTGTGGCTTGTTGGCAGGAAGGCTCTTGAAATACGGTGTCCGCTGCAATAGTTTTTGCACAGCACCATGGAACTCCGACAACGCACTCATAGCACAAAGTAGCCAACAATCGCCTACATGACCTTGCGCGATATCTTCAGGGTGGACGTCACCAATCAGCTGAATATGTGGCACATCACAGAGCCCTTGTCCTCTGCCTGGGTGGAGTGGCTTGCCACACTTGTGACCTTTGTAAGACATTGAATCGGTGTAGTCATCCGGTGTCATCCTGATTTCATCATAGGGTGTCAGAGCAAAGTACTTCGCCTGAATGAATGTGAAGTTTGGAGATTGACCGGCCAGGAAACGGTATCCACTACCGCTGCGCAGGATGAGATCATAACTTTGCTGATCTACTGGCCAATTTTTCATCTCTGTCTGGAAATGCACGCCCTCATACAATTGAGGGTTTTTTTTCACTCGGTTGATGCCCTCGGAAATGGATCCTTGTCTCTTGTTGATCTTTGGTTTCGTCTTGTATGTGAAGCTCCCTGGGCCTGTTATCGCATCAAACTGCCACTTTTCATTCTTGGCCCCGCTCCAATCAATCTTTGCCGGTGCAATTTTCTGTGCCCCGGGACTGCGCTGGGCCTTGGCGTTTGAAGCACCTGGCTTGCATGTACTGCAAATGCCCAGGGCATCGAATCTGGAAGCTACATGTCCCATCTGTGAAACTGTAACGCTGCAGCTGCAAAGTGTTAGAGAAGCAAAGTTAAACTGCTAAATCTACTAAGTCTAGCTAAAAATACAACAATCACTACAAAACATACTGTATAAAACTATGAAAAACTGAATCTTCTTTCAACCGTATAAGCTAACAGTGTTACTACTTTGACCCCAAGAAAATATCTCTCTTTTCCAATGACTACGCCAAGGTCCTCCCACGTCCACCCACCCAAAGAGGCTTCAATTTGTCCAGTGGCCCTTCTAACTAACAGTATCTCTAGCTGAGCTTACAACCAACCTGCCTGTCCCTCGATGGGAAAATATCGGAGAAGAACTATTGGATTTGCTGCCAATGCATAATTAAGAGTGGCTTGAATTCTTCAAGACCAGGTAGCCGGGCTTCGTCGTGAGCCCGACATATTGTTCGGGGTGTTGGGCAAAGCCATCAAGCATCGCCTGCAGCAAACCAAGGCCAAAAATAAACATTTATGGAGACAAACTCCACTGAAACACTCAACCCCGGGCCCTGAAAATGCGATGATTATACACCTGTGCGTCGGTTTGGTACTTCGAAAGAGGCAAGGACTTCCTAGCAGTCCTAGCACCTAGCAATGAAGAGTGATGCACGCTGATGACTGAGTTAAGTTAAGGCGTGGGCGTACATCACCTGCAAATGCACAGGGATGTCCAAGCAACATGAACAGCTCCCATACTTAGCCATGCTCGTATGTTGAGCAAAAAAAGGATGCTACGATAATGGCCTGCTGCTATTTCAAAGACGCACAGCAAACTGAAGCTCATAACTTACTTGCTGAGGCATACAGGGACAAAATGAGACAAACCTGTCTGCATATCGGCCTTGGCATGACATTTGGAGTCTACCTTTGGAGGATGACCTCATGACACTTGTGAGGTCTGCTGCTTCCAATAGCAGAATTGTAGCGCTGGCAGTGCTTCCATGGAGCTGCAAGATGCTGCACACAACAGTCTGTGTATTTCGCTACGCACACTTGAAGGTACCCCATCCTTGTACAGTCATATATTATATATATATACAGTTCTGGTCTAAAGTCCCCAAAGAAACGGGATCTTTGTGCAACCGGCTAAAGGCGGCGACATGCCATATCGCTGCAAGAATTCAGCGCTCAACATCAAAATGAACCAAATGCCAATCGCATGGTTCGAATCAGCTTCAAGTGCCATGATTCACTTCATTCAATTTTCAGTATCCCGTTGCATGATTTGGCAATGCCCAAAACCGATGTGTACTAATTATGTTTGTTCAATCAATCTCCTTGTTGCCTGGCAGAATGAATCTTGATCAATCAAATTCTTGTCAAGTGCATCCCAACAGTTGGACAACTCCTGTGGACATAGCAGCGGTCTTGGCTGTCCGCATTCACTGCCTTGGGTGAAATCAATCGCAGGCATATTAGCAGAAATCATTCAAAACATGCCAAAACCATCCAAAACCCATTCTTCAAATCTCTTCGATCTTGTTGGTGCTGTATTTTCCAAAGCCTTGATTGCAAAATCGGCCCAGGTCCGAACGCGCAGCGCACATGCCACCAATGACAAGGAAAACGTCCTTGAACTTAAGGTTTAGAGTCGGATGAACTGAAGATATATGTGACACCGGTCAGGACAATGCCAGTTTTGAAGCCAGAAGTCATACAAACAGAACATGAAAGAACATGATAATATATAGAACACAAACCAATCCGATCGCTTGTGTCATGGTACAATCTAACTTCATCACAGCTGAGGCGGAAGCATAGCTTTCGCCATGCGCACCCAATCACTAGGGTTTTGCGATACGTCGGCTGGAAATGAGGCACATGAAGGCGTGAGGGAACATGCGTTTTTGTTACGTGGAAACTGGTGGAAGCCTCCTTTGACGGTGTTTGATTCTGAATCGCCCCTGCTCAGAAGTAAGGCGGCAAAATCATGTGAAATTGTGATTCTCTCTTGCACCGCAACACCAGGGAAAGAATCTATCCATTTGCCCCCTGGTGTTTGGAGATACTTCAAGGCTGCATCAAACACGTGCAGAGAATCAGAGTTTTCAACGCATATATATATATGCATATGTAAATCTATATATTAATATATATATAGTATTATATAGTTGTCTAATCTGTCTCTTGGAGCAGTGCTGAACGCCGCGTATCAACTGCCCACCAAAAAAAAAGTATGTTTGAAGAGCAGTGGCATGTTTTGTTTGAAAGGCTACAACTCAAGCACGCTTTAAAAAAATTGCATATACAAATTTGAGAGGCTCCGAGGCAATCACTGATGCCTGCCCATGGGTTTGCAATTCGAATAGGGGCCCTGGGCTCGAAGATCCAAATTCTTGAAGATGTGTCCCGTGAAGCATGGAATATCAAATGGTAAAGCAAAACAGGAGCTGCTGACGAGTGATCCCCGGTTGGTTGAACTGATCAGTAACTGATCTAGAAGATTCAAAGACACATATTTCGCGTGTTTTTCCCGGGGTCACTGTACCCGAAAAACACAGGGTTTCGCGCCCGAGAGTGTTTTCACCTGCATTTTGAAGCGTTCCCGAACTGTCACTCTTCTCTATACACGCGAACTGCTCTTGCGCACTGTGCTATTGACATGATGACGACATGATGACGACATGATCTTGACATGATGATGATGATGATGATAAAAATGATGATAAAAATGATGATAAAATGATGATTAAAAAAAAAATGATAAAATGATGATAGAAATGATGATAAAAATGATGATGAAAATGATGATGAAAATGATGATGATGATGACGACGACGATGATGATGACATGATGATGACATGTATGTTCCAAACAGGGGGGGAGGGTCTTGCTCGCTATTCTATAGACATAAAATGGTGTCATTGACCCCTAGGGTGCATATAATTTGCTGAGCACCAACGTCGGACCCCCAAGTCTATAAAATAAGGGGTCTAACCACTAACCTTGCCAAACTTTGACCATACAAATCATGATGTCTATGAAATTGGGAACTCTTACCCCCCCAATCTGGGTGTTATATTTTGAAAAACAGTGCAGCTCACCACAAACAAAATGAGAACATGTATCTCAAATAGTTTCAAATGATCCAAAATTTCCATATGTCTAAAGTTATGAAGAATATAGAAGAAAGGAATGGAAAGGACATGCAAGGGTAGAAATTGGATGAAATTGGTAGAAGAGGAACTAGATTGTTTTCCCCACAGCCTTTGGCCTATTCGGCCCGGTCTGAGTTAAGGTCTGACGATGCTATACAATAGTGGGTGAAATCAATATTGCCGGCCGTACGACGCAATGTCGGACCTCCGGAGGATCATTCTATTGAAAAAGAGCACCGACAAACAAGACACAGGCTCCGGTAGTATGCAGAAAGGGCCCAGTCGTCGCATGTCGTGGCAAGATGTGGCAGGAGGTTGCCCAAACCAAGAAGTCAAGACGGATGGTAGCAAAGATGTGAAAGGATAGTAGAGGAAGTAGAACTTTGCCGAGGAGTGAGAGCTGAGATGGCTTCAGAGTACTGGTTCTGACCCCTGCTGCTCTAATTCCCGTGCTCTCTCCCACAGAGCAACAGTGTTATGGTGCAGGTGGGGGGTTAGACCCCTCCATTTTATAGAGATCCACCCCTGCTTATGGTGCAGGTGGGGGGTTAGACCCCTCCATTTTATAGAGACCCACCCTGCCAGCAAGGGCCCAGTCGTGGCATGTTGTGGCAGGAGGTTGCCCAAACCAAGAAGTCAAGAGGGATGGTAGCAATTGGTAGCAAATATGTGAAAGATTGTGAAGGGATAGTAGGGGAAGTAGAACTTTGCAGAAGAGTGAGAGCTGAGATGGCTTCTGAGTGCTGGTTCTGACCACTGCTGCTCCAATTCCCGTGCTCTCTCCCACAGAGCAACAGTGTTATAGTGCAGGTGGGGGGTTAGACCCCTCCATTTTATAGAGATCTCCCTGCTTATGGTGCAGGTGGGGGGTTAGACCCCTCCATTTTATAGAGGCAGGAGGTTGCCCAAACCAAGAAGTCAAGAGGGATGGTAGCAATTGGTAGCAAATATGTGAAAGATTGTGAAGGGATAGTAGGGGAAGTAGAACTTTGCAGAAGAGTGAGAGCTGAGATGGCTTCTGAGTGCTGATTCTGACCCCTGCTGCTCCAATTCCTCTGCTCTCTCCCACAGAGCAACAGTGTTATGGTGCAGGTGGGGGGTTGGACCCCTCCATTTTATAGAGATCTCCCTGCTTATGGTGCAGGTGGGGGGTTAGACCCCTCCATTTTATAGAGACTCACCTTGCCAGCAAGGGCCCAATCATCGCAAGATGTGGCAGGAGGTTGCCCAAACCAAGAAGTCAAGAGAGATGGTAGCAATTAGTAGCAAAGATGTGAAAGATTGTGAAAGGATAGTACAGGAAGTAGAAAGATGGCTTCTGAGTGCTGGTTCTGACCCCTGCTGCTCCAATTCCCCCTCCATTTTATAGAGATCCACCCCTGCTTATGGTGCAGGTGGGGGTTAGACCCCTCCATTTTATAGAGACTCACCCTGCCAGCAAGGGCCCAGTCGTGGCATGTCGTGGCAAGATGTGGCAGGAGGTTGCCCAAACCAAGAAGTCAAGAGAGATGGTAGCAAAGATGTGAAAGGATAGTAGAGGAAGTAGAACTTTGCAGAAGAGTGAGAGCTGAGATGGCTTCTGAGTGCTGATTCTGATCCCTGCTGCTCCAATTCCTCTGCTCTCTCCCACAGAGCAACAGTGTTATGGTGCAGGTGCGGGGTTAGACCCCTCCATTTTATAGAGATCCACCCCTGCTGCTGGTGCAGGTGGGGGGTTAGACCCCTCCATTTTATAGAGACTCACCTTGCCAGCAAGGGCCCAGTCGTGGCATGTCGTGGCAAGATGTGGCAGGAGGTTGCACAAACCAAGAAATCAAGAGGGATGGTAGCAAAGATGTGAAAGGATAGCAGAGGAAGTAGAACTTTGCAGAAGAGTGAGAGCTGAGATGGCTTCTGAGTGCTGATTCTGATCCCTGCTGCTCCAATTCCTCTCCTCTCTCCCACAGAGCAACAGTGTTATGGTGCAGGTGGGGGGTTAGACCCCTCCATTTTATAGAGACCCACCCTGCCAGCAAGGGCCCAGTCGTGGCATGTTGTGGCAAGATGTGGCAGGAGGTTGCCCAAACCAAGAAGTCAAGAGAGATGGTAGCAAAGATGTGAAAGGATAGTAGAGGAAGTAGAACTTTGCAGAAGAGTGAGAGGAAGAGTGAGAGCCGAGATGGCTTCTGAATTTGCAGACTTGTTCAAAAAAACATTGGTCGTGTTTATTCATATTTACTCATGTGGATTTGTGTCATTCAGCAGGTTCCATGTATCAAAATCATGATTTAAACATGTTCCGAACTTTGAATTATTATATGGATTCCTAATGATTCAATATGATTCATGTCGAGTTTCTGAATTTGATCGGATAAATTTTATCTACTCGTGGTCAACAATCTAAAAATCTAACTGAACTATTCAATTCAAAAAACATGCACCAAATTTATATGTCATGTACCTTCCTGTCATTAAAGAAAACAAAACTGGAAAATAAAACATATCCTCTATAAAATAGGGATCTCTGACGCCCCCCCTCCTGAACCCATACTCTGAGCAGAATCATGCAAAACCATGGTTGGGCTATAAAATTGGGGGTCCAACCAACAGAAAAACCATACATAAAACGTTTTATGCAGGGCCATAACCCTCGCTATTTCATAGAGGGGTTTGGATCAGACATATGATGACATGATGATGACATGATGATGACATGATGAACCTGATGAAAGACTGCCCCTGGACGTTCGCCCATAACTCGGAAGTTTTCGAAGTAAACTTGCTTTGGTAGTAATAATAGTATATATATATATATACATACATGATCAAAAATACACGTAGGGTAATCTGTGTATTTACAAATGTGCAAGGTTGGGTTTAAAAAATTATTTAAAAAAACTATGTCCTTCCGTCCTCCCTTCCTTCCTTCGTTCCTTCCTTCCTTCCTTCCTTCCTTCATTCGTCCCTTCCTTCCTTCCTTCCTTCGTTCCTTCCTCCCTTGTCCCTTCCCCCTTTTCCCTTTCCCCTTTTCCCTTCCCTTTCCTTCCCTTTCCCTTCCCTTTCCTTTCCTTCCCTTTCCTTCCCTTTCCTTCCCTTTCCTTCCCTTTCCTTCCCTCTTTCCTTCCTTCTTTCCTTCCTTCTTTCCTTCCTTCTTTCCTTCCTTCTTTCCTTCCTTCCTTCCTTCTTTCCTTCCTTCTTTCCTTCTGCTTTTGTTTGATCCCTATTTTCTTTTTGATTCCTATTATTTTGTTGATTCCATTTTTTTTGATGCCTACGCCTCTGCCAATCAGGCGATATGTGGAAAGGATTTACATCAGGGACGCCCCGTCTAATTACATACCTACCATTTTGCTTGGGGATGCAGGCAACCTAAGAACGCCATGCCCTTAGATTCATGACATTGGTGGTTTCAGCCAAACGAAATTTCACACCCGTGATGGTCTGCGTGCGCATCTACTTGAAGTGCCGCTTGTGGCGACAACAGTGTGTGTATGCGTGTGAATGTGTGTGTGAATGTGTGTGAATGCGTGTGTGTGTGTGTGCGTGTGTGTGTGTGTGTGTGCGTGTGTGCGTGTGGTGTGTGGGCGGGGAGGTACATGGTTAAAATCTAGAGACCCTCACCTGGCAGGTGCGGAACAAACTTACCTATCGTCTAAGATCAAGCTGACACTGCCACAAATGCCTTCACAAATCCCCTGACAGCATTAAAATACAGACAGCATTAAAATACATAAAATCTGAATGTATGGAAATCATGACATCTACACGAACTATAGACATCCATGGGTTTCGGATGGCCGCTTGGTTTTCTTCACTCTGTAACGGTCTGCGGGTGACGCTGTGGTCTCTCGAACGAGCCCAGCGGCACAAGCCGGGGCTAATGCACTGACAAAGCCAGCCTCATCCCGCTTCAAACTTCAGAAAGGCATTGCCGCCTTTTCACTTCTTGATAGTGCCCTTCAGCTCCACAGTTCCCTCGTCGATCCCGTATTTCTTAATGACCTTGCGGTCATGAAGCATGTCGAACTCCTCAGTGGCGTCCTTGCCAGCAAACATCATGATGGACTTCTTCCCGCCAGGGTGCTCACCTTGCAACGAACGAACATTCACAATGCTCGCCAGTCAGTTCATCTTAGAGCTATATCAGTAGGCCACCTGCCTCGTACAAAGTCTGCAAGAAGTACAAGACCATCTCAAGAAAGAAAGAATGCCACAAATGCCCTGTTGCTATATGAAACTATCCTGGCGACATGAAGTTGAAAAACAGAAGCTGTAACATGCTGCAACAGGAACTGATCGGCATCCGAGCGGCTGAGGAAGTTGGTGACGTCAAGCACTTGGTCCCCCACAATGACCCAGCAATCCTTGTCGGTGTTGTGTTTGGCAACCTCCTCTGCGCTGACTGACATGGTCAAAATGTCAAAAGAGCTGATGGGGGAAGCAAGGAGACGGAGACACTCAAAGGGCTCTGAGCCAAACGGAAGCAGCAAGGATTGAAACAGCGAGAATTTCATGCAATTCGCATGATTTTCGATGTTGATGAGAATGGCTTTTCTGGACGACAGTTGCAAAAAATGAGAAGTAGTTAATTGTCAAGGAATGCATGCACCTATTCCGACTCCCGAGAACACTTTTTTGATGCTCTGAAGGCCAGGCCCAGCATGTCAATTTGGACCTGGCTGGTGATAGCTGCTAGTCAGCCAAAGACTGCCACGGCAAGATTTGGCCAAGGCAGTGAAATGCGCGTGCAAATGTGCACAATCGTCCGCGTTTGAATCAATGCCAAAATGGTAGATAGCATGTGTTCGCAAAATGAAGCAACTGCCTATTTGATACTACTTGAGTCAACATCCACAGATTGTGCACAAAGGGTTCTCTTTGTCGTCTCAGCAGTCTGTTCAACGCGACACCATTGTGTTACAATTTATTACCGCCATGTGCTCTCCATTCGCAGCTTACTAAACAAAATTTAAAATCACTACAAACATCTACAAACATTTAAGATGAAGCTAGTGGCAACTTAGTGACCTTGGTGGTACTTATGGTCATAAAGGAAATGAGCCATCAGCCACAGGGTCAAAGATGGGTTGGCTCAAGCTTGCAAGGCTCACCTGGCCACAGCATATGGTGGTGCACAACGCGCACATGCCGGGTCACCTCCTGCAGACCTGCCTGACCTGTCAGTGTCAGAGCAATGAAGAGCCGAAAGATTGTGAAAGACATCCATCCTATCAGGTCATATCAGGTCCTATATGGTCCTATTATCCTCTTGGGAGAGATCCATGGCAAGCTGCACAAGCGCTGCGGGGTCGCCCAGAACTTTTTTGCCATGTGCCTCGAGCATCCAGCTACCCAGGCAACAAAACATCTACTCTGTTCGGCTCTGTCTGCGAACAAATCCCGGACAACGCAAAGACGCAAACCTTCCATCCTATGCGGTCGGCAAAGGCCATCTCAAATGATCATATCATCATCGCCACCTTCCTCATCCTCAATGTTGGCCAATTCACGCTTTTCTCTTTCCCTCTTTTCTTCAGGATCCTCAGCGTCTTTGTTGTCATTCTCATCTGGATATGCCATTGCCTTTACAGCATCATTGTGCATCTGCAAGCAGAAAGCAATGCGCTTGTGCAACGCCTTCTGCGGCTCGCAGGAGTGGTACAAGTCCAGCTTCTGATTGGACTTGACAAACTGCTGGTCATAGTCGATGGTTGCATCGATGACACCATCCACAACAGCCTTTGCAACCACTCCTGCGGCATCTTGTGGAGATTCCAAGCCTAGCTTGGTGCAAATATCCTGCAAGGAGATCTTGCTGTAGGCCAGGCTGATGCTTCGAAGACCTGTCTTGATCACGTTGTACCGGAGTCGGTTGATCAAAGTCAGAGTCTTGTCCTTCTTGAACAGGGCTTCATAGGTCTTGGTGCATTCCTTGAAGGCATGCAAATCACCAGATCGAACAGCCTGGGTGATCGCATAGTAAGGACGAAGTTGTTCCTTAAGCTCCTTCTGCATGAAAAAGGAGCGTTCCGGAATGCCTCCCATCAGAAGCTCCACCACAATGGCGAGTTTGCTGGCTGCCAGCTTGAAGCCAAGTGCCACACTGGCAGTCTGCGGCGCCTTGCGAATGGCTTGCATCAGCTTTGAGTGTGAGTCCGAATACTCGAGCTGGACGGCCTTGATTTGCCCAATGTAGAAAAGGTAGCGGGCATACTGCATGTTTGGCCTGCTCTCGGGGAAGCTTGTCTTGGAAACAAGTTTCAAAGCTTGGTCGTAGAGATTGTAGGCCAAGTAGTTTCTCAGAAGGAGATTCAGGAGGGTGGCCTGGCCCATCTGGTCATGCCGAAGGCATGCACTGCGATAGGCTGCAAGAAGCTCTGGTCGGATCTCTGAGAGACGGCCACATCGCTCGTAAGCGAGTGATAGATAGAAGTACGCCCTGGCATTGAAGAAATCCAACGTACGTCGGTTCAGGGTCTTCAAGAAAAGCACCAAAGCACTTGCTGTCTCAAGAGACTTTTCTTTCTCATTCTTGTCGGAAAGCTTCACCACCAAACTCAGTACTGCATATGCCTCAAGCTCAGGTGGGTACGGCTTGCTGAGCTGTGGAAACTTGATCTCAACCTCTTTGGGTTTGGCCTGGCGAACGTCAAGAACAAAGACACCTATCTACTAGCATTATCTACCCATGTCATCCCATGTCAGCGCAAATATAATGAAATAATTATATAATATATATATATATATATATTTATACATATATACATGCTTAGAGGGGTCGGAAATCAAGGGGTATGTGGCTCCTGATGCTAAACGGATGTGAAACGCCCTATACCAAGTTAGCCATCATTGACCAAGGGAACCAGCAGCAACATTAAGGGAACATGCTGTGAAATCTCAATCTATCCATCATTAAACCCGTCAACCCATCCAACAGCCATCCATCCCCCGTCTTTATCCATAGTCCAGGTCGTCCAGGTAAAATACAACAAATTGGCCACGAGTTACCAGCAGCTACCAGCAGCTACCAGCAGCTACCAGCACTACCAGCCTTATCGGCATCTGTCATCTCCACATCAGCTGGAGGCACTGCCGCTATGTACTGTGCTTTGTTAGGCCGCGCTGGGTCCACGAACTCCTTACAGGGGACTCAGGACATCTCAGGACTATCCAGGCAAACCACGAATACGAATGCAAATGCCTAACGCCTACAAAAGAAGTAAGCAAGCGGTATGGAAGGCACCAAGCAAGGGAGCAAGCAACTACCCTGAAAGAAAACAGGCATCGCAAGCGCAAACCTAATTTGTTATGCATGCATGGTCAGAATTCTTAGCGAGGTCCCTTTGCATGCTGGCTCTACCAACTCTACCAAGCAATTACCAGGCCATTCACGCTTCATGCTGGATAGTGGACAGTCTCGCTTTGCACACACAGAGCGTATTTCCCGGCAAAGCTGTCCTCCAGCAATGCCTTCAAAACCTCTGGCTCCATGGTGCGGCGGAGTTGGGCAAAGGATCGGAGCACGCGGCCCATGACTCTGGGATCTCCTGCTGTTACGCCAGCAGCGATGGTCTTCAGGTTCTGGGCGATGGTTTCCAGCAGAATCATCCTCACAGCGCACTACCAGTAGCACATTGACACCAACAAGTTGATATAGATTGACTAGACTACAATATATATTCACTATATTTCACTATGATAATATATATATATATACCTGTATCATCAAACAACCATTAAATTTTGGTCGTTTTGGTTTTCTGCCCGTTTCAGAAAATAATGGTAATTCTGCCCGGTTTGGGCCATTTCTGCCCGATCCCAACTTTTCTGCCATATCTTATTTCCACACGTGGAGTCTCTTGCCACATCACATCAAATCATCCAACCTTCAGCAATTCCTGCCGGTAAAGGTACAAACACTTCTGAGTGTTGCTATATAAAAAGCAGGTGGTGACATGAACGTGACAACCGTGAACATCTTCCGATGTGATCTTCGTCTTGCCAACACCCCCAGCCTCAGTCACTGGGCCATACCAAAGAAAATCATCTTAAGATATCCCTAACTGAAAAGCACTTCTATACCCCCTGCTCAAACGTAGAACAGGGCCTCATGAAGAAGAATCTGATCCACTAAGTGTGTTGAAAAGCATCCCAAGAATGGCTACAGCTATGCAGCCAGCAATCAATCCGCTTGGTGTGTCTGCGGGTGGCTGACCCGCTTTGCTAAATCAAAAGAATTTGCCATTTAAACCTAGCTTTGCTGCGATAAAATACATTTTGTCAAAACACATCAGGGCAGAAATCCTGATTTGCGCCCGTTTGCGGGTTTTTGTGTGCGGATTGCGGGTTTTTGCGCCCGATTTGCGGGGCAGTTTTGGTCCGGAAAAACTTGAAAATTGACGATTTGCTGTTTTGCGGGGAGTTGCCGTCCCAAATCTGCGGCGTGAATACGTGTGAATCATACGTGTTTTGCATGACTGCCTTAGGTCTGGTGACTAACGCCAAATAAATAGTTGTATGCGTGAAGTCCCACACGCAAACAAACACACACGTGTCTCAGATGGTACATCTTTGCGAGCCAGAATCTGAACAACACGTGTCATACAGCATTGAAATTTCTGCCAATTGGCATCCAATCCCTGAACAATGCACCACCCCTGCAAAGAATAAAAGACAAAGCATAGCGGGGGCTCAGGCCTGAAAGCGCAGGCCCCATGGATCCAGTCAAACACGTCAGGGGTCAATCAGTGCCACAAGTGTAGCTATGGTGAAAGGAAGTGAAGTTATGGGATGGGACACCATGGAAATACATAGAAAATTAGATTTCAGCCAGATTTCTGCCATTTTGGGTCGTTTGGGTTGAATTGCCCGATCTGACCCAAAATAGGTCAATTGGCTAAAAACAGGGTCATTGACCAAAACAACCTTTTTTTCTGCTCGTTTGCTGGTCCAGGTATATATATATGTATCACTGTAAATATATGTATATATATATATATATATCACTGTGTCTATATATATATATCACTATATGTGTATATATATAATATCTGTATATTATATATATATATCACTATATACAATCTTGCTGTAGGCCTGAATATCGAGTTGGTACCCTCTCTCTCTCTGTGTCTCTCTCGCGCTGGGCATGATCGACTGGGTACTTGTTCATTTCTCATAGATCTTCGACTCTCGTCTTATGATACTATACATTGCGATCATATGCGATTATGATGTAGGGTAGGTACCCATATATATATATATATATAGATGGGCTTGACTCAAAAATCAACTCTTTCCACCATTGAAAGCAATATAAAGTGATCTTAAGAACTGTTTCAGGCGGGTCCTTGGGGTCTTTGGTGGTGGCTCCTCCTTTTCCTTCTTGGCATCCTTGCCCTCCTTATCTTTTTTCTCGTCTGCATCTTTCATCTCCACATCTTTGCTCTCAGCTTCCTTCTTTCCCTTGGTGTCTTCGGGCATGGCACTCCCAGGCGTCCTCGCCTTGCAAAGTAACGAATTTCCACTTGAGCCTCAACGAAGAACCATCCAGGCATGATGAAAATATATCGCAATCACAAATGACCCCCATGACCCACCACATTCTGCTAGCACTTCAGTAATTACACAGAATGTTCTTGAGAAATGCGGACTCAACAGCCCAAGTAATTTAAGATGCTGCTTCACAATGGGCTGGTAAAAAAGTACAGACAGCCGGAATTAGCTGCAAGAAAGACGGTACTCAATTTTCTCAAGGTCAGCTGCAGTCTGCTGCGGGCATCAATCATGGCAGATTGGCCGACGCCATTTGGTTTTGCTATTCTATTGATTAGCCAAGACCTGAGAGTGATGGAAAAAAAAAACACAATACAACTGATAGATGGATAGATAGATAGATAGATAGATAGATAGGTAGATAGATAGATAGATAGACAGATAGACAGACAGACAGATAGATAGATAGATTCTATAATAGATAGATAGATAGACAGACGGTAGATAGATAGATAGGCAGATAGATAGATAGAAAAAATGGATAGCTTCTATAATAGATAGATAGACAGACAAATGGATAGAGATAGACAGACAGATAGATGGATTGATTCTACAATAGATAGATAGACAGACAGACAGATAGATAGATAGACAGACAAATAGATATATAGACAGATATATAGATAGACAAATAGACAAATAGACAGACAGATAGCTGGATAGATGGATAGATAGATAGATAGATAGATAGACAGATAGATAGATAGACAGATAGACAAATAGACAGATAGATAGATGGACCGATAGACAGATAGATGGATAGATAGATAGATGAGACACAGATAGATGGATAAATAGATAGATAGATGAGATAGTGAGATAGAGAGATAGAGAGATAGAGATATATAGAGAGAGAGAGATGTATATATATGTATATATATCTTTAGAGAGAGAGAGAAAGAGATAAAAATGAAGATAAAGATATATAATTATATAATGATAGATAATGATAGATAATGATAGATAATGATAGATAATGATAGATAATGATAGATAGATACTGAGAGTCAAATGCTTATATTATATATAAGCACTTGACTCTTAGTGTCTATTATATAGACCATAGCTGACTGCAACCACTGCAACTTTGGCGATCTTGTCTATTGAATGATAGCCTAATGATAGCTGATAGCTATTTGTCCCAAGAAGGTGTTGTGTTTTGGAAGTCATGGGCCCAGAATGAAGATGACATGTGATAAAATAAAGCCGCGGCTCTTCCTCGTGATTCCTGAAGTCCTGAATGCATGGATGGCATGGACCCTTGGGTTCCCCACGAAGATTGGACTTTCTCGCCAAGTCCATCCACGAGCCTGATGCCGAGCTCCCGGCAGACGTCAGCCTCAAGAGAAGCAAGGCCCGGCAAAAAAAAACTCCCTTTTGGCTGCCCTTTTGTCAGAGCTAGCTTGCGGCCTTTTGTGGAATCCCGCCTCAGGCACGTTCTCGTTCCTAATGTCACCACCTGAAGCGTTGACATTCTGTTGAAATTGCCCCCCAAATCTATGGCCACATCATCATCAAAGATAGGTCCACTGAGGGGCAGGCCATTTGTAAAAATGTCCTCAACAGAATCAAAATTAAAAATGTATGCTGCTGATCATTCAACTTTTTCTGCAATCAATAAAGGCACATTTCTCCCAGTGCCATGTGCATCCAAGCATCTGGGTGAAGTATTCTCAGGGTACGGCGCACGGTCTGGTCCTAGAGACGACCAAGCTGCCAATGGCATGCCACCATTCAAGGCAATGATTATCCAAACATATCATCCAAACATTGCGGCTGTTATTAAGTTGATGCACACAGCAGTTCTCTTTCCTTCCGGAAAAAATCACAGCTTTGACAAGCAGGAGGCGCCTTATCAATGGACTCAATTGCCGCGTCTACACATGCGAGAGAACGTACCAGCTTCACTCTCTCCCTGGCAGGCCTTGGGCAGAGAATTGACAACGGCTCAGCGAAGAATGCTATCATAGGATATGCAGCTGGACATAGCTGGACCACTAGGTCTCATGCTGGTATGAGATTTTAAAACTCCTTTGAGCCGGAGATTGAGACACTGGCATGAATGGCTGCCCTTTCTTTTCAGCGGCCTTTCCAGGTCTATAGTGCAAACACAATTCTTGATCTTGCTTGGCCCCCTTGAAGGAAACATGGGAGAATCAACGGCCATCCAAAGCCTGCGTATCATTGTTGACAATCACGAGCAGCTTATCACCCAAATCCTGTCAAACTGAGGCCAGTTTTAGGCTGAAGGCCCAAAAATTGAGACTACTGCAGGGTATACACTAGGTTAGCGCAACTAGTTCTGCAACACGATGCTGCTGTTGCGCAACCCTGCAATATGACTCCACTTGGAAAACTACACACAGGAGCCGGAAGATTTAATCTTTGGACGAATGCAGTCCCGAGATCTTTCCAGGTACTCAATGTGGCCGTAGTGCAAAGGGTCGAAGTATCCCGAGGCCACAACCACCTGTTTTGTCGGTGCTGGAAGACTTGCAAATGCGATCAAAATCTGATTATATCAATTATATTCAATTATATCTGATTCCCTGGGCTACCTTCAACATCTTCAACATCAGAGCCTCTTAAGGCGATCAGCCCATCAAAAAGCGCTCCGCACCTTCTGTGACATCCAAACAATGCCTGACAAGCTTCCAATCAAGATGCCAGGATGCCAGGATGCACATGCTTTGCATTAGAAAGCACTAAAGCTTCCAGAAAACCATGGCAACGGTTCAGTCAGAAGGTGAGCCTCAGGCTTTCGCTCTCACCCCATGCCCTTTCCAAGCTTGTGCGGCCAGAATGCGCAACGCGAGCAAATAGTCTGTAATCTGTAAATGGTGCAATTCACAAATCTGACACAACAAGTCCGACAAGTTCTGGCCCCTCAAACTGCGGCCCAGGGCGATCAGATCGTGCAAAACTCTAGCTGAAGTGCAATTGGGTATCGTGACGATAAAGTAATCTTTGCCAGCATGAAACTCACCAGGAGAAAACTGCTCCTTAACCCCCTTTTGGCAACTGGAGCTGAAACGCCAGAGCTTGTGGCATCTGGGCGGTATAAACACTATGCGACAGCATGGGAAATTAAATGTACAATGAACAAGGGCCATTCACCTGCTAGGTCAAAAGCAGCGCGGGTATTGTGAATGAAATATATCACTTCACGCATGGAGCATCGGGATGCATGGGGTTGACTTTGGCCCATCTATCAGCGCACGCCTTATATATAATAAAATGAACCTATATATTTATAATTAATGTATAGTATGTTAATGCACATATATATTTATAATTATATATATATATTATATATAAATTATAATGTGCTGTCCCTTCCTCAATGACTGGATGATATTCGATCTGATTCCAAAGAATCCAGAAAAGGATAGAAAAGGCAGCAACATAGGCACCTGGCTCTGGTATTTTCACTCCCGCTGACACAAGTGTCAGGCCACACGCCATCAGCATGATCTATGCCCAGTTCAACTACCTTCCCGCGTGGCATGGTTTCAACCCGTCGTCTTTGCGCTACATATGATTTGCACATTCATTTGCTCTCCTCTGAGTGGTGCGGTGGCCAAACATGATTGGTCTGATGAGGATGGGGCAAAGATATATACATATATAATTATATATATATATACAAATGGAGGTACCCCAAACGATCCAAAATTATTCACTTTGCATTGAAACCCATGGTTTTGGGGATCCCAGTTTAAGAACCCCCATATGAAACCCTGAAAATATCAAAAAATCACAAGCCCATCCCAATACAGTAAATCCCAATGATTGCATAGCAAGGGCATCAGCTCGCAAAGAAACAACACCCGTACACTGCCGTACACATGTCAAGCATGTTTCATTCAGATTGATTATATTTGATGATTGCGCAAGAATTGCAAACATGGATTCCATGGATTCGTATTCTCCGAAGCATGGAGTTGGCTTTGCTTGTGACAGTGCAATCTCCAACGTTATGGAACTTTGATCTCAAATGCATTTTTGCACCAGTCTGACCATTCTGCACCCTTCAACGACATGGGTCTGAAACCATGCAGCGCGTCTCTACCTAACAGTCATCTGGTCATAATTGATTTCTTCGACGATCTTCTTTGGAGTACTTGGATTTAGCACCACCTTGGGACAACGCTTGCGACAACGCTTGAGACAACTCTTCGGCGTCAAAAGAGTGCAATGCGACGATTGAGGCCAAGTTCCTGACATCATTCCATTGCCTTGCAGGCACTGAGATGATTAGATTTTCAAAGCTGGCAACAGCTGAAAAACAATGTTCCATGCATGCAAAGCCTCAACTCAAGCTGATCTCTGACCAACATGACCAATGGTGGCCTGCGAACAAGCTCATTCCCAAACTTCAGGCGCAGGGGTAAGGGAAGTCGTTGATCGTCCTGTCACTTCAGGATGCCAGCTACAACCAGCCACCATGATGTCTAAAACAGCAGCGATCAGCGGGTTTTTGGATTCCTACACCGAGAGTCGGTCCTGCCGAAGTGGCGTCTCATAGTCCTCGCCAAACACAAGGTGCCAAGTGAACCTTGAGGCGGCTTGGAGCAGAGCTGCGACCACAGTGCCCGCCCCGGCAATTTACTGTCAACATCTGTAAAGATCTGCAAGCTGTTTGAAACTGTCCAGTCTTAGCAAACCACTCCATGCCATAGCAATGAGTGGAGCGCTTGACCTTGCCTGGCAAAAATGAAACACCGCGGAGCCAGGCAGTCATGGTGGATCATGATGGTGCCTGCCTGGATAGCACAAGTCGTGCTCTAGGGTTCCATCCACCAACCTCAAGGTTTCCAGGATGTGCGAGATATGATACGAGTATGCCGGAAAAAAAACAGTTCGATTTATATAGTTGGAAATGTTGGACAAAGCCAGTGTCTCCACCAGCAATTCCCACGTCAAATTCATCAAAGAAGTAGATCAAAATATAATAAAATATGTACCAAAATCACATATTCTTAATGGCCTCAGCATCCTCTGATAGAATTCAAGCGGTCGTTCTCGGACCTTGGCAGTTCTGCAACCAGGAGGCTAGCATGTCAGGCAACAGATTCCTGAATCCTCTGATATCCTGTGTATCTGTGTATCTGTAATGTTTAAGGAAGCCACCCTTGAATCCTGCACCACAAACTGTGCACAGCAATAAGGTCCGACCTCAACGGACAGCAAACCAACCAAGGATTGCGTGGAGAAGCTCTGCCACGAATTACCACGAGACTAATCAGATTCTGAAAGGAAATAAGTTTGAAATAAGCGGAGAGAATTGGACACCCAAAGTCAACTGTACGTCCTGATTGTTTTGTAAGAAGGCATCCAACAAGGAGAAACACAGACCCATTCAGGAATGTTGAATGTCGATCTGAATTCTCCCATAATCTGAAGGTCCTTAATCGACCTGTCTTTTGCGTGTGTTTGCCCCGATTACTGAAAAAGTGTTCGTTTCTGCCTGTGCCCCGGAATGCCTCAACATGATTTTCTCACCAATTTGCCAGCACCTGTGAAAATTTGGGCCCGTGACAGCTTCTCGCATCTTTTCTCCGAAAATAGCCTCGAAAGAATAGACAAAGGAATTGCCGAAAAAATCGGGATCTCACACTATTACGGCAATATCCAATATCATCCAATATATTCCAATCCCCACAGCTGCGGCAGCATGCAGCTGACATAATGAAATGATAAAATGATATCACAATGATCTGCAATGTAATGAACGTCAATTCTTGCTGAAAAACAAAAGAAAAACAACAGCAAAGCAATTCAGTAGTGTGGCCTCGTGCACTGCATTTAAGCAAGGCGTCCAGGTTCGAACATGCCTCCGATCATATGATAGCATCAGCAATCATCAACGCTCGACATGAGCAGAGGGTGACCCAAGGAATGAAAAGGCCTCATCTCATGAAAGCCATTGAAGCGTAGAGTCGTAGAGGCGTAGAGTATGAAGACCGAGCACAGCTTCAAGTCAAAGCAACAGAAAATAATGCTTCTGCACCGTTCTGCATTCTGCAGGTCTGCCTCGCCCCGTTCAACCCCAAGTAGGGCACTGCCTCAGCCGCTGTGAGGCTTGAAATGGAACGGGGCTGAATCACTCAACACATGTCAACACACTCCAACACACAACGCTCAATAGAAAAATATACTATATATATATCCAGGACCCTCCAATGATACACAAATTTTTGTACCAATGGATTTCTGCCCCTAACCTGTGATTTCTGCTCGTTTGGGAATAAATGCTCGAAAATCAAAAAAATGCTCGAATGGTTTTTGGGGATTTGTATGCCCATCCTTTCACACCACCTGCCCTGCCAACTTTACTCTTGGTGCCCGCTGCGTCCAAGTCTAGCTTTTGAGCTTGGTGAAGTACCGTTTGTACTTCAACAGGCATCTGCTGATGCATCGCCATACCACACGATTCCTAGCATTCAACCTGCGCACAATTCTGCTGCACTTCCCCACATAGTCCTCATCGGACCAACAGGCCCAACCTGGGCAGAAGTCCATGGATGATTCCATGGTCCCATCAACAACAACAAGCGCAACAACAGCGACAACCACAACAAAAACAAAAATGACCACAAAATACAAAACAAGTACAAGTACAACAACAAGAACAACTTTTATAAGTACAAGTACAAGTACAAGTACAACAACAAGAACAACATTGATAAGTACAAATACATGAACAAGGACAACAACAGGAACAACAACTATAATTATAGTGATGAACTGAACTAGTACCACAACTAGTATCACAACAAGTACACCAACCATTACAGCAACCATTACAAACGACCATATTACAATTGCAATTACATTACCTTCACAACAACAACAACAGCAGCAGCAGCAACAACAGCAACAACCAACAGCAACAACAGCAACAACAACAACAGCAACAACAGCAATAGCAACAGCAACAACAAGCACGACGACAATGACAACAACAAGGACAACCACAAAAAAATGCTATGGCTAATGGCTGGGACAAAGGGGATTGAGTACTTTGCCATCCTCACCGCACAGTTGGGCTTGTAGCTCCATTTGTCGCCTGAAATGGGCTCCAGGCCTAAAGAAAGAAAGAACCTTATGAGGAGCCATTGCTTCAAAAAAATACATTAGTCAAAAACCAGTTGTTTATGTGCTGTTAAGTCTCGGGGTGTGGGTGAAAAGATGCAGCTTTGGTCTCAATCGGAACAATGCCCACTTGCGATCCGAGCAGGAAGCTGCAAGGCATCCATAACCTTCCTTGGTAGAAATCACTAGGTTAGGGGCAGAAATCAATTGGTACAAACAGTTGTGTATCATTGGAGGGCCTCTTAGGTATATAATTACACATGTCCTAGTCTATAGAGGATAATGGATTTCATTCCACAAGCTAACCCCTGTGACAAATCCACGTGCAATCCAAAGATCGGAGTTGTTGTATGCACAGGCCAAAATCCCCAGAGCATCTTGTACATTGACCCAGATGCCTTCCCTGTAAAGTCGGGAAAAGAAATGGTTTGCACTGTCCAGAGTCCATAGGATGAGCTCGAAAAGGTCAAGGTCACTGGCATCCTTGGTCAACCATATAAATTATATATTATATAATGGTGGTGGTTAATATAGGTTTAATATACCCATAACCCTATTTATTAATGTTTACTTGTGGGTCTTAATATGTTACAGGGCAGTGGCACTTTTACCATTGGTGGGTTATCATGTGCAATACCCAGGCCACAAATCAATATGTTTTTGGAGTGAAGACTAGATCTAAAACCTGGTTGATTTGGCAATGAAAACGATCCGTAATGGGTATTTTTAATCCATAAAAATCTGGACCCTAGCTCATATAGTTATCAATAGTCAAATAGAACCCCCATGGTCTTGTGGTAGGGCCTACCCCAAAATTTCAACATATGTTAATTGCCAATCTACCACAGCATGAGGGCCAGCTTGGTGCATTTCAAATGCCAGCCACTTGCACAGCAGCGCGGTATCGTGTGCACGACCAGTGCCTGTCGGGAAATCGTATTTCCTGGGAGGCCGGGCAGCCGGGTGGCACATGGGAAAGGATGGGTGATTTGCTCTTATATACATGCACATATCCTAATCATACATTACCCCAAAAAATGAGCACTAGCTAAAACAAGCATCGTTTTCACGTGGAACTTTTTCAGCTCAAAGGATTTGACAGATGATGTCTTCTGGTTCAAACTGCACCATGTATCAAATTTGTCGTAGGCAGCATCTAAGCTTGATTGACGTAGCTTTCCATCAGTGACATCATCACAAAAAAGACCCATGCGACAGGCAGCCAATAAACCACTTGATGCAAGGTCCCCACCAATCCCAAGATTGAAGCAATGCATCAAGTCAGGGCGAATGCATTCAGGAGTGTCACACCCAGGGATCCATCTCAATGGTGAAAATTTGTTCTTCTTGAATGGGCAGGGATTTCGACCAGACCACGAGCGAACTTGTCCTTCAGGAGTTGTATCCCACCATTCCTGTTAGGTTTAGAATTTAGGGATAAAAAGCAATGGTTTTTGTTATGCACCCTAAATCTTAGTGAGACATATTCCAGAAAATTATGATAAAAACAAATAGGGAACTCTTCCAGGACAAAGGTGACACACACGTGTTGACCGGAAACCACTTGATAGGTGAAAACTCTTGCGGACCCAAGGCCAATCCCCTTTGCATCCAACAATTGCAGCATAGAAGGTGGTCTCCATGTCATTCACCTCAGTAGCACATTAGTTGGTTCAGGATCAGGTTTGGGTATCATAAAACATACATATATAAAAGAGTTTATAGGGGTTTCAAAAAATACTGTATGTTTTTTGCCATTGAACCTTGACAGATACCCCATGATGAAATAGGTCCCCCATGTCATCAGCCAAGCACTGGTGCAGAGCATCAATAGTGGCATCATCTTTCGCATACCAAGTAGAAGGTACCACCGTATACAGAAGTCTGGTGGTGAAGGAATGCCTAGGATCAAACCCATCAGGTTTTGGGGCACGGTATAGGGGTAAAATTAAAACAACACCATAACCATTATAGTTCGGGGTGACTCAAACTTGATATTATATTGCAAGTGGCTTGGTGGAGTTCAAGCATGTCGGGCCAGTGTAGGGAATGACAAGTTGGCAGGACAAAATTAGAACTGGTTCTTTTCCAAGGCCACGACCTTCATCTCCATGATATGCTATCGGAATTGTACGGGCTTGTTCACCAGGGGACCGCTGATAGATGGGATGATCACCTTGTACTGATCTGAAGTTCTGCCAAAATTGCAGCAACATAGCTTCAGTTTCCTTCAGCCCTTTGGCAGAGCTAGGGTCATGTCCACCCAAAACAAACTTGGGGCATTCCTGAAGAATCCCTTTCATCCAGCTAGACATGTAGATGCATGGATATGGTTCCAAGCGCTCCTTGGAAAACCTTCTCCCATGCCGAGCAAGCCTAACTTTCCTTCTAACTGGAATCTGTGGCGTGGATACCTTCACATTGAAAAGCTTCCCATCACGCTCCAAGAACCGGTGGAAATCACGGGCTGCATTTTTGCCAGACTTCCCTGTTTTGGATGCCCTGAACCGGGCCAATTTGTTGATCTCTGGGTCAGTAACACCTTCAGGGAAAAGAACAAACATATAATATCTAGATCATTTACAATCATTTATATATAGATCATATAGCATATAACTTTATCCTTCCACATGTGTGATTACATCCCATAAGCCCATGTATTAAAAGCAATCACATCCCGTTTGTTGTTTGGAACCATTTCTGCACCTAACTTCTTGTTCTTCTTGGCCACACGAGCCGCCAACCGTATCACGCCAGATGCTGAAGCAACCTGGGCAGAGAGCAGGCCAGGCAAATTGATGTGCCTGGAAAAGGGTGATTGTATGATATTGTATGTTGCATCATGTGGACATTGGATACAATTCAACTAGGTAACCCCGAGCTCTGCATCTTCAAGCAAGGTGTCTGCAATATCGCCACTTGATGAATCATCCCCTGCCAACAGCAAGCACATGCATGTTGGGATGAATTTTGCTCAGGGGAAAGTGTAATATGGAGAATCAATGATCAGGTCCTTTCAACAAAATGCCAAGTAAAAGATTCCCATCATGCATGCATGAAATACCATTAGGATGTTTGAAAAAAATGCATGCACTGATTCTGGCAGGCCTTCGTTGCAATTGGAATCGTGTTCCAAACCTGCGCCGGGAGGCAAGGACAGGGAAAGAAAGGATATGTTTGGCATAGCAGTGGCCATGTGGCCAAATTTTGGACGACCACTAGTTTCCCATTTTCCCAAAGGCATCACCCCAAAGTCTCAGTCGATCAAATGAAGTGTTTACGGAACACTTCTACGTGGCAATTGGTGACTGGAACTTAGCCAACACCCAAAACATATCTAGAAAACATCCAAAGCTCTACTTCTTGGTCTTTCGAGCTTTGGACTTCGAGCCACCAGATGGCTTCTTGGGTTTCTCAGCCTTCTCATGAGGCTTCTCACTCTTAGACTTGCCCGACCCTGGTTCACGGGGCGTCTTGCCCTTCACACTGGGATTCGAACTGCCAGCCTTGATGTTCCTCAGAGTTGGGCTTGTGAAGGTGCTGGACATAAATTACTACCAAACAGCACTGTCATATTTCCATTTTTTTGAGAAGAGGATCTTGCTGCGAACCAAGAAATTGTTCATGGTGACGTCGGTTTTGGTACAGGTCGCAAACAGCTCCATGATATCTTTCTTCTTGGAGTCCAACGAACTGGCCAAGTAAAATACAACTTAGTCATGGGCCCAATCCCAAAACAAATTGATTAGATGATTGAAATGTATAAACATGGAGTAACAAGGATCACACCTTGTATCGCTTGCAGCTAGGTAATCAGCTTCCTTGTCGCACAGGTCCTTGTACTTCTCGTTCAACGTCTTGATCAGGCCAGCAATTGACCCTGCCATCCTGGGCCCCAAGCATAAGACCACATGGTTGATCATGGTTGTAAGTTATATGTTTGGGATGTTATATAATATATATATATCGATCATATGTTATATTACATGACATGATCTATATGTTAACAATATTATATGACATATGTATATATGTTTTAAATGTTACATCCAGGCCTGGAGGTTTGGATCATATGAATCCAAGAAACTCTGTTGCCCGTGGGATGTTCATGTTCTCCAATTTCTCCTGCCACAAGCAAAAGTAGTAAATTGCCTCCAAATGTTAATGTTTGCCATACATTCACTTTGATTGAGCAATGATGCAAATGGCAAATGGCATATGTAAAATGGCCACATTCTCGAGTCCTGTTGAACCACTGCATTATCAATCTTGACACCCAAGCACTTGATGAAAGTAGGAAGGATCGAGAAAGGCGACTGATTCTTCTGGAGAGTTGGGAACACCAACTGCCTAAGATCTCAGATGCTGATTCACAAGCACTACCATGACCCAAAATTGAAATTGAGGTGTGTTGAACATTAAGTACGTTCTAGCCACTGCTTGCCACCTCCGCTGGAGGCAGCCACTGCTGCAGCAGTAGCCTCTTTGACTGCTTGCTCAGAATCATCTCGGGAAGTTGATGGAGGCTGGGCCGGAAAGTCGGCATCAGGGATGAGGTCTGAGTTCATCAGAACTCCATCAGGGTCCTACACATAAGTTGCAACTGCTTCCCAGCTATTATTGTTTAACCCATAGTGTGAAATGAACACATGCAGTTAATAAAGTGTGCAGCCCATATCCTCACACTCAGCTGAGCCGGTCAGGGTCATCATCTCACCACTTTCATTTTTGGAATCAAAGCTCTCTTCGAGCACAAGCTTGGCCTCTTCTTCACCATGCACCAAGTTCTTCCGGATTAGATTTCTAGCTGCTGCCCACCTCCAAGAAGAATCCACCATGCTCCTAAGGGCATTCCGTATATGAAAAGGTTACCCACTGTTTAACAGCAAGTGCATGTAGAGTTGATTATTGTGATCTATATATAATTGCCATCAAATTTCTTCGAGTAGTTGCAAATATCCACCAAGTAGGCTTTGGTGACCCACTTCCCTGACTTTCCATCAGATTGGACACGTTTGCTCCACTTGGAAAGTTCAACCTCCACCTGTTGAAAATTTCCGTGTTTCTGAAGTAGTTCTCGAAGCTTCTCACCTGAAGCAAGCAAGGCTGCAGGTACAGATTAGTAACTCTGTTATTGAATGTTATGAGAGGTTGTGGCATGTGGGACTACTTAGGCCAAAGGACGACCCGTCTCAGACTTGAAAAGATCCATGCGTGCCTTTGATGCGGTGATTTTCTTCTTGATCTTCGGGTCGCAATGTCGACGCATCCTGAGGAATATATACATGTATATAATATAATATATCCCATAACAAAAAAACTCAAGCAGTGTTGTTGCATACTAGGCTCTGATGGTAGTATTTGTCAAACTTGACGGACTTGACAGGAATTGATCCATTGGTCGCCGAGGATGTTGGACATGTGGAACCAGGAGAGTAACCCATAGGAATCTCATCCTCTGGTAATTCTACGTCATCCCCTTCACACTCACCATTGGGGGAATCAACCTTCTCCCCCACAGACTCTGTCGCACCCTGCCCCTGGCCATTGCCCTCGGACACTGTGCCAGGCTGGCCCTTTCCCTCAGGCACTTTGCCAGGGCTAGGAGCCCCAGAGGAGACAACATCAGTGGCTGGCACACTGTCAGGTTTCTTTTTAGCATAGTGTTCTTCAACCCTCCAAAACGACTCAACTTGTTGCTCATCAAGGGATTCCCCACGACCCTCACCAGGAAGTGTTGATGCTGAAGCCAACCGTTTCCTCCTGTGACCAGCCACAAATTGGCCAGTGCTAGACGCCATCACTGGAGCACCTGTCACAAGCTGGTGTTGTTAAAAGAACTTTGAAGGATCCCACAAATTTTGATATTATATAGAGGTTACACTCATATGTGCATATGTATAATATGCATATATATCGATTCTATAAGATACTATTTATAGCTAGTAGATCATATTGCATGTAAAGCCATGGATTCCTGGTCAATTACAGCATTGCCTGGGACATCCAGTGGCTTTGGAACCGATGCCGAGGACAGCTTGGTTTGCATTGCCGCAATCCTGGCTTTGGATGCCTCAGGAGCCCAACATGGGGGTGCAGATGGGAAAAAATAATAACCACACAAACATGTTGACCAGTATCCACCAGCACTACATAAACTTATGATCAGCTTGGGAACTGCTATCTTTGCCGCAAGGTCCATGTTCTGAGCAGACTTCTCATGTAGGGTGGTCATTGCAATACCCTCAACTAAAGTAGCACAAGAGGTCGTAGGCACTGACATGCTGCTTGACCCAGACTGCATTCTATATATAATTAGATGCAACTGTGGGCAAACCCTATGTGACTGCAAAAATGGTTTGGTACACTTTTTGAATTTGCGGCTTTTTGCACTTTTTTGCGCCGATTTGCGGCTTTTTTGCACGAATTTGCGCTCGAGATTTTCTCCACTTTTAGCTTAATTGGGCCTAAGAACCCAACAGCTTTAGCAACCCTGATTTTCAGGTTAAGACATCCGAATTAGACGCAGGAGCTGTTGTATTCCTCCCTTTCCGTGTCTGTGACACAAACCTCAGCTTTAGAGTGTTGAATGGCTGTTTCCGTTCACATCTGTAGATAAGTGCCATTTGCATTTGACAATGTTCGACCATGTTCCAGTGCTACCAAATAGCTATAGCAGTGAGCTGCTTGTCAAACTCAGCCATGGTGGTCACCCATGAATCCGGAATCTTGACGTGATGGTTGTTGTAGAGATATTTCCATACTTCACACATGGATGCATCAATCCATGGGTCTGACAAGTCCATTTTATCAAACAACTGTCGGTCCGTCAACTTCGGGTCAACAAATTGCTTATGCCTCAAGTGCCCTTGAAGTCCTCTTCTACCCTCGAAGCACTCCAGAAGCCGCTGTGCAAACCCTTCAGGATAACACCTCGGGAATGTGCAAAGCATGGACCCCTGGCTTGAGATGGGCTTTGGTGTGGTTTGGAGAAGAAAGGGTTGAGAATAGAAAAGCTAAGTCCTAGACGCCGAAAGTTTGAGACCAGATGTCCCGGTGAATTTTTGAACACCAGACTTGTTGACATAGCGACCTGAGATACCATATTCTACAAAGATTTGCCATGTAAAAAGGTGATTTAAGATATGACATATGAACTGTTTCAACTCAGCTTTTCACGGGTTGTCTCCAGTCTCTTGTGCTTGTCTTTGAACTCTTTCTTAAGAGGCCCAACGTTGAGACCAGCTATCCAAGATCCATTTGAATAGGCATCCGTTGGCTTGCTCGATGGAGAACCAAGTAGCATCATCCAGAATCGTGTTTGATATACCTCACAACCATGCTATACAAAATTGCAATGGTCAGTTGAGGGATGTTAAGGGAGATATTGAACTTATATGTTGAAGGGCCCCCAAGCAGATGAAAAGCTATACCCCCAAAGTTGTCACTTGTTTCTTTGGGGAACACTCGTGGCAGAAATTCAAAAAAAAACAATTTCATCTAGAAGACGTAGACAACACGGTTTGCGAACCTTTCCCACCGATGATGCTTTTTCAGCAACGACCCAGCAGGCTGCTCCACTACAAAGTAGGAGTGCATGGCTAAGATGACATAGCCAAGCAAAACTATCCTGGGTCAGGGGGCGATGCAGTTTGTCCAGATGGGGGTAGAGATGGACGGGATAATGCATATATGACACATATAATAACTATTATATATACATATATCGATCCATATTATTATACACACCATATTAAGCCATGTTTCCGACTAACTGTCATCTCAGCATTTGCCACAAAGGCTAGATGCAAGGCGCCAAAGATATTACAATAACTTCTCATAGAGGTAGCTCGGGCCGGCAATCCCCACGACCCACACTCTGGACCCATCAAGTTCACAGACTCTGGGTATTCGCATAGGATGGCCCAGACTACCAACCTGAGCTAACCACTGGAACATTTATTGATCAAACTTGAACACATGCCCATTGGTACATAAGAGTCTCACATCAAAATGCCCCAAGAAACAGCCACCCAGGAGGTGATAGGAAGTCCATGGTCCTTTTCCCTTTGCAGTACATCTCATCGATGGTAGCACAGCTGTAGCCACGAGAACTCCTGAGCATGCCAAGGCGAAGGCCCATGAGCAGGGTGCCCCAGAGCAATACCCATGAATTGGCATAAAATGGGGGACCCAATATAACACCCCAGGGATTTTAATATAAATAAGGCACCACATATTACCCATGAGCTGGTATAAAGAGGTGGCCCAAAATAATAGCAATGTATTAGGAACATAATGGCCCAAATGACAACCCATGAACGAACAGAGATTTATGATATGCTAATGAAAGGAGGAGCTAATGGACCCCAAAATATACGTATAGTCCGTATAATCTAGATTATTAATTGGTTCAACAAGCTGCCAGACTTTTGAGGCGGCAGCACCACCAGCAAACAAATCCAGTAGGTGGAACCGCGGCTGAATTGGTGGCAGGTTCGAAGACCACTTCAGCAGTAGCACCGCTGCCACAAGGATCTGAGCACCAGGTATGGGTCCAACATGAAAATTATATTTTTTTTAAACAGCAGCAGCTGATTCAAAAGAAAACCGGCCTTAGGAGCATCCACATGGGCCAAGTTCACCACAATCGATTCATCCATTGGGACCCGTGGAGCTGATCGTACCAAAACACTGCAGCACATCATAGAAATTCTTTTACAAATATAGGGTGCTCGGGGTATTGCACACATGTATCACCATATGGTATTTTTTCCAAACCATTTGGAGGTTCCATTTTTTTGGACAGACCCAGATCAGGTTCAATAAAACAATTTAATGGCCTAGCTTGTGCAACTTGAGCACGGCTGAGGTGGGGAACCGCCTCCCGCACTGGCTGCACGCAAAGCCCATCCCTCAGCAAGGGGCATACCTGCGCTGGGGCAGCATCAAAGGATTAATGTAAATTTACCTGGGACGATTTTAATGAGGACACCCATGCAGATCGATCTATTTTTTTGATCTCGAACCTTTGAAGCCCCTACAGATCATCACATGGTCCGACAGTTGCCATAGCATATGAAAAGGCTGCTGTGCACAAATCATGCCTTTGGCACCATTCACGTGAATACTGTACCCCAAACCCATATGTATTGGCTATCACTTCAGAAAGCCAGCGAACACGACAAAGCATCGATCGAATGGATGCCATAGAAAACCTTGATCACTTGCAGGACTTGTAAGCCTTAGATTTTTGGTGCTGCACGTGGGGCCAGGATATCATATTTCCTGTGGGGCCAGGGTACCTACCCATATTTCCCATAAATGTGTATATCATATTATATAGGGTATTTCACTGATAACAGGCATATAATTGAGGTGGAAATGTTGATGCATTTAATTATCCAAAATAATTATATTACATACTATAACTGATCAAGCCAGGAAACCTCACGTCCCTTCTCCTTGGCCTGTTCCTCAGTCAAGCCTTGCTCGAGGGCCTTCTTTCTCGCAGCGCAATAAGCCGATGACTTCCGGCTTCTCTCTGCCATCCTTTCCTTGACGGCTTTCCCCTTCTCCCCATCCAAATCTTCATCATCCTTTTTCTCACCTTCTTCAGCGGCCTTTCTCTTCTTCCTGGTCTTGGTCTTGGGAATCTCGGAATCCTCAGTCTTGGGAATCTCGGAATCCTCAGTCTTGGGAATCTCGGAATCCTCAGTGGTCTTCTTCTTCCTGGTCTTGGGAATCTCGGAATCCTCAGTGGTCTTCTTCTTCCTGGTCTTGGGAATCTCGGAATCCTCAGTGGTCTTCTTCTTCCTGGTCTTGGGAATCTCGGAATCCTCAGTGGTCTTCTTCTTCCTGGTCTTGGGAATCTCGGAATCCTCAGTGGTCTTCTTCTTCCTGGTCTTGGGAATCTCGGAATCCTCAGTGGTCTTCTTCCTCTTGGAGTCAACCTTCGCATCATCTTTGGTTTCTTCTGTCTTTGGTGTGCTCCTTCTCTTCTTGCTACCTACCTCTTTCACCTGCCCCGCCTTCCTCTTGCCTTTCTCCTTTTCCATGTTGTCCTTCTCCTGGTCACCTTCTTTTCCCATTGTCTCGTCTTCCTCTGCAGTGTCTTCCTTCACCTCTGCCTCCTTATCCTTGTTGGTCTTCTGTTCAGTCTTTTTCTTTCTGCTTGCTCTGCGCGACTCTTTCTTCTCGGTCTCTGCAGTCTTGGGCACCTTGGTGGTTTTTGCTTTTGCAGGTGTGCGGCTGCGGGTTGACTTTTCTTTCTCAGACTTGGTGGGGACTTCCTCATCCTCAGCATCTAGATCTTCAGGTCCTGACTCACCACTGTCATCACTGGTAGCTGCTTGCTTTCTACCTCGGCCTCTTCCCTTACCTCTGCCTCGCCCCCGACCCTTGGATCTTCCTTGATTCATGTTCTTGACTTGATCTTGAGGCGAAAGAACAGGGAACCTGTCCAGTGCCCCCGGGCCGACACATCTCTTCATCTCCCACCTTTCTTTCCTCAACTTCACCCTTTTCCTTCACGTCTGATCTCTCTGTGCTGTCCTTATCCTTTGTCAGATCTTCTGGCCAGTCTACTCCTTCATGTTCCTCTGGAACCTCCGCCTTCAAGGGAACTGGGGCATCAGCTTTTGAATCAGCCCCTGCACAATTGGGGAGACCATGATAGAGTACCTCTTTGGCATTGGGATCTGAAAGGCATTTTGCCTCCGCCTCTGATGAGCTGAAACCCATGCTCATCAGATGACGCACCACTGCCGGGTCCGCCTGAGGCTCCTCTTTGGCAGGCTCCTCTTTGGTGGGCTCAACTCCAACAGGAGGTGGGCTTTGCGGGAGGAGCTGAAGAGTGGTGGCACCCTCAACAACCATGTCAGCAAATCTTTTGGGGGTCTCCGGGCTGATCTCCTGAAAGGATGGCAGTGGAGAGCCATGGGGAAGAGATGATTGTCAATTCCGGAAGAGGATGTAGTAAGTGCTCATCAACACATATGAGATAGCAAATATGCTAACAATATCGTATGGTTAATATGATCAACAAGGTTTGGGTGGTCCTGGGATTCAGCAAAGATAGCACCCTCATCCAGCTGATCTCCATGGGGAAGCGTCTCAAGATTGTCGACATTCTTCATACCTAGGTGAGGTTAGTCATATTATGTTGTTATATATAATATGGCACTTAAGATTCAGTATGTGTTATCAACTATAAAATATATGTGGGGTTCATAAAAGATATCCCAAAATTGACCAAGTTACCCAACATTGCTGAAGGTGCAACAGCACTTGAAGCAGGGATGGACGAGTTGACACTGGAAGCTTTCATTTCCTCTTCCAACTTCTCAAGTTGAATCATTTCAGAAAGCATTTCCTCCTCAAGTCTAAGTTGATCTAACTCTTCTTCCAGCAGGGTCTCTTTGGAAACGGGGGGAAGTTGTACTGGAAAGTCATCGGGATCCGGGATGGTATTAGCGAACAGCTCACCATCTTCAACGTCGAGTCTCATTTTTTCCCTGTTTGGGTGGAAATCTCCCAGGCAGTATGCTCAGGCATCTGGCACATCAGGTATTCAACTTGTTCCAACCATTTCGGGGTAAACAAGATCAACTTGGATGAAAGGTCACCTTTCAGGTCCACCACCCCAAATTGCAACTTGCCAGGCTCCAGAACAGGGCCACGCTTCGAGCAGGGCTGCGACTGGATGAGGTCCAAGCGTGCAGCCATGGCCCCACAGGTTTTGCATTCAAAGGTGTTCTCTGAAGTATGGATGTCATGCTTGTACACTTTCTCTGTGCTGGGCAAATCCATCTTGTTTCCTGGGCCCACCAAAGAGTTAACAAATATATTTGTTTAGGGAGTGAAGTGAAAGTATCACCTGGCCAGAACTATGATGCAAGCAAGATTCCTCGTGGGGACGGGCATGGTGTCACCACTGTAGAAGCTGGCGCCGAAGCAATCGACAGGTTGGCAATCTTCTCAGCAGCTGCCGACACACCTGCGCTGCATAAGTATGGCGACATGGCATTGAGTAAGGTGGGATGGGGTGGAAGAAAGGCTTGGTGGGAATACAATAGGAGAGCTTAGCATATTATATTATTTTTGATGTCTATATCACCTGTATGCTAATGAAAAATCAAGATCTTCATGGGTTAGCCCTACCTCCAGGGCTGGGGACAGGAGATCGGTTGTCTCGAGCTGGCTCCTCTTTGGGCTCAACCAGCTCAACCTCCTCATCCTTAGAGGGTTGGGTTGAGTTAGGTGGCCCCAAATTGATACTAAATGCACTGATTACCATTTTTCAGCATCATGGAGCGAGGGTTCAATTGGGATTTGTTGGTTGGGGCCAAGCCACTGTAGTTTCAACGCTGCTTTCATCTCCCTCTCCATCATCCCTGGAAGAAGACGGTGAAGCATCCCTGGAACCTAGGAGATGGTAAAGGACCTTTTGAAGGAAATCCCTATTTTTTTAAAGCAACCAGATCTATTGCCATATATGCAATATATGCACATATAACATGTGTTGTATGATATACAATAATATTATATGCAAATAATATGTGTTTTGCAACCTAGGGACATGGGGCAGATGGCAAAGGGACCTCTGACTCCGTATATATACGGCGAATTGCTGCTTCTCGAGGGTAGTGTCCCCTTTTGGCATACCGGCTAAAAGTCGTCACCAGGCGCCTGATCTTCCAAGCCTCTGTGCGGATAAGCCCACCTGAAGTGGCTAGACAGAGGATGCATTGGGCATGGTTTGGGCTGACCATATTCCTTAGATGGGTTAACCCATATTTTTTAAAAAAAAAACTGGGGAACAGATCATTCAAGACAACTTTAAATTAATCTTGATATTACTAAGCCAAGGGACGTTTGATGTTTGGTTTTCCCCTCGGGCGGGCCCAGTGCATGAAGAGCTCCACATGTTCATGGATGGTATCAACCGTAGTTCTCATGCCCAAGTGCTTCAAGACTGGGATCACAACATCCTCATTGGTAATCAGGTCTTCCCGGCCAATGTGATCATTTGGGGTTAGCACCATGTAACCCTTTCCAGCCCTGGCCAAAAGGGTGTCACTCTTTGACCACATGTCCGCCACCCCGGATGCTAAGCTCATGCTCGGCATGGCAGAACTATTCTAGGCCCTAGGCCCAACTTGATCAACCTGCAAATGACTGCAGTACCGTATATGCCAACTCACCAACATTGATAACCCCGAGTGCTTCTACTTTCCAGTTGGCTCTAGAGACAAGGGGGTTGGCACCTCAATGGGCCCCAACTTCAATAAAGGCCATGCACCGTACCTGGAACCCAGGTATTATGACCAAGCCTTTGACCTGGTGGCATGCACAACTGCATACACAGGGCGCACCAGAGGCACACCAGGTGGAGGGATCACCCAAAAGGTTCACAGCCAAAATGGCTTAAGGGATGCTTGAGGTTTCACATGCTATATGTTGACCCCAAATTCCATGGCATTATGTGCTTAAGATGGGTGATATATATTAAACATGTATTATATATCAATCATATACAATAAAATAAAAAACGCTCGAAATTCAGAAAAACGCTCGAAACCAAGATTTGCGCTACAAACTTGAATTTCTGTATCGAGATTGAATTTCTGTATCGAATGACCTGTTTGCCAAAAATTTATGTATCAATGGAAGATGCTGGATATATATTATTAATATAATCTACATATATCTACATACTGTTTCCCTGAGAGGGAACCCTTCGATGTGACTGATGAAAATCAATCCACAGCAGTTATTGCCAGAAGAAGCCTTGACAACAGCACGTAGCATTCATCATAGACTAGCAGCAGAATTCGGAACGGGATTCCACTTTTGCAATAAGTTGGGATACAAATGCAGTACAACTCTGATAGTTGTTCCGTGTTGTTCCATTTTTGACCAATCACCCGGTCAAGTTTGAAACCTGCTTTTCCCACTGCCTCTTCGCTTTCCGTTCATTCTTTCTATCAGACCGGCTAATAAGGATCTTGACGGGGCAAACTGCGATCAGTAGCGTCGACACCTTGACCAATCTTGCTCCAGATAGATTTATGTTGTGCCTGCTGTGACTTCTGTCCCTTGAGAAGTGAAAACATCTCAAGCTGATGAAGTTCCCTTGTTCTCTCTAAGCCCCCCTAGGAGGGCCAGTCCAAGGAAGTAAAGTGCAACTTGATCCTAAATGCCTGGAGCACTTCCGGAAGTGTAAGGACCTCGGGTCCGCATACTTGACATAGTCGTCTCATGTCGTCTCATGTCGTCTCACCTACCTGGGCTTTTTCGCACGCATTGATAACTGCAGTGAAGGTGATGTCATTGCCATTGGCGAACTCTCCCAGTTGAGCCAGGAGCCCCAGAGCTCTCCACCATTGGACACTTTGTGCGAAGGCACTGGTGGCAGCGTTGTGGGTAACCATTGTTTTTTGCACCGATCTTGCCACAGAGGTCGAGAAAAGCTGAATGGCCTCCTGCCATTCTTCTGCCTCTCCACTGGCACTGATGGCAATGTTCCCCAGGCTGACCTGGAAACCCTCGCTGCATGTAGCCACATCCAACAAGTTCAAGGTCTGTATCCACTGAGCAGCCTCCACACAAGCATGCGAGGTAGCAGTGAAGCTAAAGGGGTCCATCTTCGATGCACAGCTCTGCAGCTGCTGAAGCAACGCGCTAGCGTCGAACCACTTTCCGCAGCTGCCAAGAACCCTCAATAAGGAGCTTGATGTGATCTGATTCAACCTAGCGTGGAAACATGAGATGATGAAGAGACCATCCATGATAATGACACGAAGAGAGGGGGCTGCCATTGACTAGGTATACAAATGTAATTATACAGTAGGGGGTTGCTACATGATTTATCAGGAATGGTGTAGTCACTCCCGTCCGAAAAGGCTCAATCATACAGACTGCTCCCAAAGAATCCAGATGAAACCCAGACATTTCCAAAGAACCTAACTGGTCAGGACAAAGAAACTCCAAATTCTTTCCTTGAAGGACATTCACCAAAGCCAGCGCAAGAGTCCAGCGCCTTTCTTTCTCACAAGCATTGATGATAGAACCAAAGGATACCACACTAAGACGAATTCCAAGATCCTGAGTGTTCTGCTGCAATTCCAGCGCTGTTGTCCATCTGCTCCGCTTCTCATTGGCACTCATCATGGCATTGCAGAAAACAATGTTGGCTTCAAGCTTTAGACCTATCATCTGAGTACAAAAGCCATACGAAGCTTGCCATTGTTGAAACTGACCGCACGAAGACATTAAACTTGAAACTGTCAGAGTGTTGGGCCGCAAATTGCCCTTGTTCAGTTCCTGCACCAACTGAAAAGAAGGCTCCCACTCGCCGCTGTCACAATGTACCTGGAATGCCGAATTGTATGTGACCAAATCCCAAGGAAGTCTCATCCTATCTGCCATCTGCACGGCACTTCGCCATTGCACTCCAGGCCGTCCAGGCCCACACATCAGTGTGTTCATAGTGAAATGGTCAAATCGCAAATTCTGCCGCGCATAACCTGCATCACCCGCTGCCAAAGTCATTGCATGCTGCCAGGCGCCTGCCGTTGTACAAGCACTGATGAGGGAGTTGCGCAGCACATTGCTCATCACACACTTCCCCCTCTGCATGCTGATGTCCAGTGCCTTCTGCCACTGTGTAGATCTTTGACATGCAGAGATCGATGCTCCTAGGGAGACTGTCGTCGTCTCCACTGAATCCTGCTGGCAGTGCCTGAAAACAATCAACGCCTTGCTCCAATCTTTAGATCGATCACAGGCGGTAATTAGTGTGTTGAATGATACTACGTCCTTGCGAAGCTGTACCTTCAAAACATCCAAGATGCACAGGGATGATCTCCATCTTGATGAAGCATCTGCTGGATTTACAGTCAGAAGCGAATTGTAAACAATCTCGTTGATCTCCAGAGCTGCAGAACAAAAGTGGAATAGCCAGGCAAAGGCTTCCTGCCACAACTTTCCCCGTCCTGCAGCACAAATCACCGAGCTGCACGTCGCCACATCTGCTCTCAAGGTCTCTGCCACAGCTGCAGCACATACTGCGCTTGCTTGCTGCCACTGCTGAGATCTGTCACAAGTTTTCAGGACTGTGTTGCTTGTAAAAATCTCAGTGTGCCATTTTGTGGCAGATTGCTGGGAAAGGTCTCGCGCCTCTGAAAATACCTGTAAAGCTGATGTCCAGCTAGCTGATGTTTGATGCGATGAGCTGCCCATGCAGTCGCACTGAGATTGGCTCAGCTATGCCCTGCAGGCTGGTGACACAAGGTGTGGTGTGCGTCATTTTCTCACGTCTCACAAGGTGGAGCCGTGGATTTCTGACTGCACTTTGTTGTCGTCAAACGCCTTGGCACTTTGAGCCTGCAATGCTGCACAGCTGCCGGCTGCTCCACATGTCTTCTCTACAAGATTTGTAGCTTTGATCTTGAGCCCATTCACTGTTCTCAACAATCAGAAGCCAATACAACGACACTTGAAATCAGCAGGCATCACCAAGCACAGTAGTTATAGGACATATAGGACTGTATATGCTGAGGTTTCAACATAGGTGGCGGCCGCAATCATCTTTACAACATTGTGCAAGTACCTGCGTGATTCCCGACTAGTGACTAGTGAAAACTGTTATATATCAATTCATATCATATTATATATATATAATTATATAAATCATTACAAATCTATTAACGTGAGATCATACCCAAAACCTCAGCACTCTTTGGTTCGGTCACGAAAAGTGCAAGTGGTCGTGTGGGTCGGCCTTTCCGTGCACAGCGTTGCAAGTGTCAAACTGTTTTGCAGAGTTTTGCATATTGCTGCAGTTTTATGCCAATTTTATGCTCTACAATGGTGCTGTACTAGAAGTGCAAGGGGTCGCCTGCAAAAAGACCGTGAAGGTGGCCAGGTTCCAGTAATTTGTGACAATGTGGGCCCTTGGGAAAGCCGATTGGAAAAGCCACAGCTCTTTGTCTCAGCAAATATCCAATGTCCTCTGAATGTCCTGTTTGGTCCCATGCCAACTGTTTTCAACACGTTTCAACAGTGCCACAGCTCGTGCAGCTCGTGCAGCTCGGGCTCCCAGCAAGTACCCGAGGCACTCGTCACCTCGAGGGCCATTCACAGGATCCCGGCCTTAGATATCTCATCTGGACATATCTGGATGGACCGTAGCAACTTTAGATCATCCCAAGAAAGACTCGTCTGATCGTTACTCATATTATCATATGTATTATCTAATATTGCTATGCCCTTCTAAAGGTTTGTACATCTCCGTGTCAATTGCGACCGCGTTCTGCAGTTTAGTCTTGCTTCTGGATTGGCAAGTGCGCGCTGCAAACCAAAGGTGTTATGACAGGAGCTCAGCAGGTCTGCGTCATTCTCGTGAACATCGACAACAATAATTAGCTTCTGCCAAGATGCAGGATCTGATGGACACAGCGGAGAAGTGCTGCATCACGGCACCTGCACTGATCACCACCAGTCTTGCAAGAAGTCACCCCCTGGCGATCAAACGGCCGGGCTGGCTGCTAAATGTTGGCTCTTCTGAACCTCAGCGTAAGATCCAATTTCCGACGGTTCCTCCAAAAGGATTGCTGGATAGATCTGGGTAGAGTCAGCAGCAGTCTGTGAGCAGGCTCTTAGGAGTCGGCATTTCTCATAAAAAGTCAGCTGGGAGCCTCGCTTATGTCGTTCATAGGCTTGAGGCTTTGAGCAAACGGTGGATCCATCAATCAAGATAATCAAGGTGCTCTGATGTGGATTGTGTGAAATTGAAGAACTGTGGTTCCAGGGTGCTTTGCACTCATGCCATCATTATCATCATTCAAGCTCTGTCATCGCCAGTTTCAACAGCCAAAGGTGTGGACCAGCAGGAGCGATCCCGAGAAGATCTGCCTCCAAGCTCGTGGATTGAACAAACTTCTACAAGCTTTTGTTCAACGGTCAACAACCAGATCCACTAGATCTACATAGATCTACATAGTGCAACAGCAGAATGCAAGATTATACAAATATGTCGGCTCTGCCTCCACCCAATCCAGGGGCTCTTTGCAGTGAACCACTATGAACTCTAGTGAGATTGCCTTCAGATGCTCTGAATCAGTTTTCTTGCTGCAACTCGAAGTTTATTCACCATTTCGTTCTTCCGCTACACCTGTTGGTTTTTTGATGTTTTGCCTGCAGTTTGCACCTATCTTTAACTTCCAAGGGCAGGACACCGCGTGCACCTCCGAGAAGAGAAGGAAAAGTTTTTTGTGCCTCTCAGACATAACCGGCAAGAAACGCATCTCAGAAAGAAGTCCACTTCACCGAAACCCAGGTGGTCGGAAGGATCTCTTTCCGATTCTTTCTCTCATTGTAGGTTTTCGAACTCGCGCTGGACAAGTCAGGACATATTCCTGTCCTGGACATAATTCATGATATTGAATTATGAAATTTCACATAGGAATTGGCGGTAGACATCCATATGTGACAGAACTGGACTGTGCATATTCAATCATATTCGGTCTATCTAATGCCCTTTCATGCATGCATCATCATGTATCTACACCCAGCTGTTGCTGGGCCTCCAATGTGGCACTTTCAGTGGCCTGGAGGCGCGCAATAGCCTTCGAAACAAGATAGCGGCTAAAGGCAATTGAATGATATTGAATGCAGTAAAATCAGTAAGACACTGACTGCCAATGTTGAGTCGGCTTGATTCGTCGGCTTGATTCGACTTGATTACCAAACCAGCATCAGGAGGTCCAAATAAACAGTCATGAAACAACATGAAAATGGCACAGACAAAAGCCTCTCGATATGGCCACACAGAGGTCTCCTAGGTGGTTGGAAGAACCCGACAATGTGCGACAAGCATTGTGTGCCGTCTTTATAGACTTTATAGCATTCTCAAGCTGTGAGAATGGTTTGTGTCAAATCTTTCCTTCTTACTGGAAGATTGAACTCCCATCTGAGAGCCAGGCTGCTAGGATTGGTTTCACCAACTGCCAGTCATTTCAGCTACAATTTGCCGCACAGCACATGTCGCGAAGATTCAGATAAGTCGCAGCGCGCCGCACACCAGACAATTGCGCATTGGAGTAGTATACAATATCCATCGCTTGTACGTATCTGTGTATGGTGTATGCGCGAATGATTTTTTTTTTGTGTGTGTGTGTTAGTATGTGTGTGTGCCTCACTATGCATATTTAATATATCATGTGTGTGTATCGAAATCAATGAACACACAGAAATCATGTATGGGATGAGATAGACTGGATACATTGGGTGGATGATACGACATGATACGACATGATGCCACCCTAACTACCCGCTGCCATTCACGTGAATTACCCGAAAATACCCGAAATATCTCAAAATAAGTGCCAAGAATTATCCCGTGCTTCATGAAAGGTGAGCCATGGTGAACTTTCATCAAAGCCTCGTTGAGCTCATCAACAAGCTGCATGGCCTTTGAGCCACGTCTGATTCACGGTTCTTACCAATGGCTTACAATCCTTACCTCATCTTCAACCCTCAACTGCACCGTGTTGCACCTATCAGCTAACTCCAGTTGCTCAATAGTGTTTTTATATGTTTTTATACCCACCATGTAACGAGCCGAATGAGAATCCAGCAACGCCAGAGTAGGTGTAGGCATCTTCATCGCCCATCGGGATCTTGGCCTTCCACTCCACAAACGAAACCGGTTGGATAAAAAAGCGGGCAACACCGCATAGCGTAAGCAGGTCCCTCTTATGATCCAAACATATCCAAACACTGCTCTAGTATTCTAGCATGCTACAAAATTATGCTGCATAGTACGAGATAGTACGAGTCTATACTTCACTATATTGTGAACATTTGTATACATTTGTGACAGTGAATGAGGTAAAATGAAATCATGGCCTCTGCCACCAGGAGGTAGGCCATGATCAAAGGCGCCTCAGATAATCATGTACAATTGCGGTGGGGGTGAGGGTATTGGTTTTGCGCTTCGGTTTTGCGCTTCGGTTTGCCAGTGGGCGTGACTGAAGTCACAGCTTGCAAAGGGTCGCTCATCTCACTTTCTTCACACGCCCCCAGCTCGAGAATGCCAAACCGTCAAAGCGACGGCATATGAATTCTTGCAAGGAAATTCACTCAAGAACCAGTGAAAATATGGCGAGAATCACCGGTAGCTCTCACAGGCCGCCGTTTGCGTGTGCGTGGTGGCTGTGCTTTCACAAGCACTTTCCGTTCATGTCCTGGGTTGGCGGGAAAGGGAACCCCACCCACCAATGGTGGACAAACACATCTGCTCAATCCATGTCCATGGCATATATGGCATGTTTATTTCTTTAACTAGTCGGATGCTATTACACTGCCCCCCACTACGTTTCTGTTCAAAGTGTTTGCCGACAAGTTGCACCAAAGCAGTCTTGCACTCCAAGATCAGCTGAAGCATAGGACCAGGTTCTGCATGATGAGGTGAAACCAAACAGCTCCAGCACCCTGGCAGACCTGGCAAAGAAGAATCGCACTCGCTCTTGCACCAGGGATGCCCCTTGTGCTGACATGGATTACCCATCTGGATTTCTCGATGCATCTATGGGAAACAAATGCACATAATAGTTTGGTGGCACTTTGGATATGTTTTTTTCCCCAAACTGGATGGGCGCAATCCATGTACCATTCTATAGCAAAAACTGGCCTACCAACCTCATCTCTATAGAATCGTGCCCCCAGGTTACCTATTTATCCTATTTTCTAGAGATAATTCCAAGGAGGATGCCGTTGCTTGTCTTCTTCTCAGTCATCCTAGGGTCCTAGACCACCAATCTAATCAAGGAGCTGGGAGAGTTATGTCAGTGTTATCATGTGGCCAGGGTCAGGGTGAGGAGTTGCATCCAGTCATTGCGGCCTTTAACATCCTTTAACCTAGTCTCCTAGTTCAATCATAACAGTGAATCCAACACAGAAATCATGCGGTTCATATTCGGTTCTGTCCTGTGAGTGCACGTGGTTTGGAGATTTGTTTCACCACCGGTACCAATCAATATAATCAATATGATTCCTATACCCCAGTTATATCATGTTATATCATCAAACGTGCCGGCCCACGGAAGATACAACCAGATAACCTCCCACACGACCGTTCTTTACCCACTCCATGTTCTGTGTTCAACTCCTTAGACTTGCACATCTTTGTCATTCACCTCGTACTCTCCCAGTGCTGACGGATCCACTCAAATGGCGCAACAGTTTTTGCCGAGTTGATGCGCAATGCTTCAGATTGCAGTGTATGATTTCACATATGAAACGTGCTCAGATCTTATCTGAGGTCCCAATATGTCCCAATAGTGTACATAGAGAGGCCTGCAGAGGGCCGGTTGCACAACTTATTGCAGGTGCTCCGATGACTCCCTCAGGGCCCGGTAGACATCCTGGAAGGCAAGTTGGGTGACAGCATAGCCATGTAGAGACCGAATCCGCCAGCCTTGCTCTACTCCCAAGTTGTCAGCGTGGCTACCTGGTCTCACGTGTTTCATGGTGATGGGCATGTGCCTGTTGAAGTCCAAGCCAAGGGGTCGTCGAGTAAAGCGGATCACTCTGACAGAGCCATCTGGCAGTTCAAATTCGACTTCCAGCTGCTTCGTTGAGATTGTTTTCTCAACCACCATGTCATCCAGGGAGTCCTCACATGTCGTGTTGCAAACAGCTGCGGTCTGCAGGATCTTTGCATCATTTGGTTCCTCATTGCAACCGCAGTTGCTACAAGACACGCCCATTATGCCATCACTACGGAGTTTTGCGGGAAGTTGTCCTCCACTTGCAAGCTGTGCCTCCGCGATTCTCTTTTATATATATATATAATAATAATAATAATAATAATGCACTTATCATTATCATACCGTGTTCTCTCGGTCCTGGATGTTCATCTACCCAGAATATACAAACATATACAAACACTAATCACTTGAACGGGCCAGTTCAATGGGTGCGGGTGCTTCACAGTACGTCTTTAATTTCTTGCGACTCCATCTTTGTCTTCGCCTAAGCCTGTTTCATCCTGTTTCACTTTGTTGGTGGAAGGGCTGGGCCGGTCAAGCCTTTGAGCCACATAGCGAACAACCACACAATGAATCGTACTGTCAGACTGGGACCGGGTTGGGCACAACATTTGAGTTTCATTGGCATGGAAAGAACATTGAAAGAACATGGTAAGAAAACGCAAGAAAACACCTTGCGAAAGCACGGCCGCCCTACCCTGCCTCTTTGGAGCGGCATCTCGTTATTCTCACTTGCACGTGCATTCTGAAGCCGTGTCTGGGAGAGATTGGGCAAACATGACACCCCAAACAAGATTAATAATTATAAACATACGCGTGTGATCGCGTGTGAATGTCAATGTGCGGTTCTATGCTGGATCTACACACACATACACACATAGCATAGCATATATTATAGAGAGAGAGAGATTCAATGGACATTGGACCTTCCGATGCCTCGAGACTAAATGATCGAAATTGTGAGAACTGGTGACCACCATTGGCTCACAAGCACTGATGAACATGCTGAAAACATGTGACAACAGCTGATAATGTTTGACAAGGCACATTTCCCAAGCCTGTGCCAAGCACTGTGAGAGATCACTTGGCGCATGGAACCTCGGTTCTTGCAGCAAGCCAAAGCATCGCCCCCCTCATCGAGTAGGCTAAGTTGACTCTAATGCATCCACACGAACCTGTTTACCCTGCAATTTGAGACCTTTTTAGATGCAACGCTTGCGCTCAAGTGCGTTTCACTTCCGTGTAGAGACAAAGCTGGTGGTTGTGTCCATGCCTGCCAAGCACAAGTCAGGTCAGTCACGCTTTGACTCATTGAGTCTAACAAAGGCATCCTTCTCACTAAGACATTCCTTCGGGACATGCGCAAGAGCCAAGTATGGCCACAGAGCAGTGTCTGGCACATCTCCTTCTGCAAAGTCTTGGCGGCGGCGTTCTACAACCTGATCCCGTAAGTTTTGCCATGTCAATTGGCCACCAGCTTCAAGCAGAGCAGCTTCGGCATGTGCTTTCCAGATTTGCGCTTCAGCTTCTTCCATATTGGCAGCCCCGAGAACAGGGCCACGAGTGAAACGACGGTACAAAGGGTCTTCCCCAGCAGGTGTCCATTTGGCTCCGGCTGCTGCGAAGAATCCCTGGCCCCAAGGCCCTTGCTGGGACCCCTTGACACGTCCCAAACCACCACGAACACCACGAGCCTCCTTGCTCCCTTCTAAGCGGTCATTCAACGCCACAAGCTCATCGGGCGCAGCCATGTCTGTACACCAAGAACTAGCTCGAGCCAGACTCACAGGCGTGAAGCTCACTAACCACTGATGTGTCGGTGTTCAATCTGACCCCCCTGATGAGGCTTTTTTTGAAATGAAAAGCATTGAAAAACATGACATGACTCAAACGAAAGGATTCAAAGTAATTATGAGGCTATCGTGCCTACCGCCATCTACCGCCACTAGACAATACTAGACAATGGCGGAAACAATAGGCTTCAGAAACAACATTGGATGCAACAAGAGCCTTGGGTGCGAAGAACTCGTACCCCTGTTTCACCATGTGATTTTGAATGAAAAATTAAGAAGCAGCGACGTCCCTGTCAAACTATCGTTGTTTCTTAAGTGAGCACTGTCCAGGTTTCTGACTATTTCTGGCCATTTCATTCATGCCATTTCCATAAATTTCCGATGAATCTACGGCCGCCAATTCTTGCAGCCTTGCAACATCTTGCAACCCTCGAAGCTTCACAAGAGAGCGGAGCCGCCAAAGCCGCTCCCAAAGCTTCAGCTTGCCTGGGCTATTGTCGAAAGGTGAGCACTGCCTTTGTGTAAAGGCCAGTGCTACCTGGCCACGGTTCTGTTCCCCTTTAAAGGCTTCAGCAGCCATGTTATTTCTGGAGCAAACATAACCTTGCTGTAGTAGGTTGCCCTTGGAGTGAAAAAGCAAATGAGGTCTTGCCACCCCCTCATATAATGGCACATCTCTGGAAATCATCTTAGGCACGTACTCACTTTAGCTTGTTGTCTTAGTCCAGTGATGTTGCGAACAAGCAGGCATCAAACAAAAAAAACAATAACCGCTCTTTGAGCCAAGCATCGTTGACATTCTATAAGATTCGGTGCGGGTCGAGAGCAATCGGCACTGTGGAAAGCACATGGCTAGCACAAATGACCCGAAATCCAAAACCCTGGAAGTGAACATGCAATGGAGCTCAAGCTCAAGCAATGAGAAGGGCAAGAACAGCTCGCGAAATGTAAACTCATCAACCTTGAAGCTGACAAAACCTGACTCGCCTTGAAGGGGAAGCAACAATTCCGCTACATGGTTCAATTCCCAAAGTAGGAATGCGAGAGCGGCAATCTATGCCAATTTCATTCCCTCACAACTAGCTGAACACAACTTGCCTCTTGAAATATGTCTTGAAGATTCTTTCAATGCTTGCAACCCTCTCTTCGAAGACATGAAACCTTTCTTCAACACAAGAACATCAAAGTAATTCATGAATTCAAGTACAGCGCATTTACTTCTGCAAACTTGCCAAAAACTGGATGCAAAGGATGCAGATCGATCTAAAAGCGATCGCATGTCGGGAATGCTTGGAACTTCTTCTGAGTCCAAGCAAATGGCTGCACTGTTGCAGTCCGCGGGCAAATTATGCCAAAAACAGAACCTGCCTACACGGTTGCCCTGAGAGCCTCCATTCCTGAAGGGGCTCAAGGTCAGAACACTTCTTTACTGGCAGAGCTCTGCAAATTTATCTCCTAACTTCTGTACGTCTCCCAGCAACTTCTGTACGTGGGATCCCTATACGATGCGTCCCAGCAAATCTGCATGTGAAATAGCTCGCCTGCCAGGGGAAGATTGGGTTGCGCAACTAGCACTGAGCAAAGAGGGGCGCAATGATAATCAGAATCATGGAGTGACAATTTGAAATCGAACACCTAAGTGGACATCAAAGTCTGTCAGGAAGCAGTATCGATTGTGCGAGACTCCGCCTGATAAGGGACTTAAGCCTGAACCTCTTCTGGTTTGGGAAGGCCGCAAGATTTTTCCTACATGGTACCACCATTAGCCCTCCCCCAAGCGTTGTGGGAGTTTGAAATTAGTTATCTAGATCCGAGAAGTCTGAGAAAGGGCATGATAAGATTCAAGAATGTATAGAAAATGTATAGAATGTATAGAATGTTTAAGGTCGAGTAGAGATATCAGATAGTGTTTGGAGATCTGGCAGCCTGGAGCCCGTGCCATCCTTTTCCTGGGTGATCCTGGGTGTATCTGGGTGCTATGTGTTGCTATGTGTTGCTTTGACTGCAGCAGTTGCAGAGCTGCACCTCTTAGGCCAAGTCTTCGCAGGCCAGCAAGCTGCAGACTCTTATGGCCCCTGTGGCTCGACACGCTCGGCTTCTTCTTCTTCATGTACACTGCCTTTTTGACGCCAGCACCCCGCTCAATTTGTTTCACTGGAATTGGACTAATTGTGAAGTCTAAGTGCTGGAAATGTAATATATGTAATGGAATGTAATGGATGTTTCATGTTGCAAACAGCATGTGCATGCGTGTGCTGCATATGTGGCAGATATGCTCATGCAACCTCATGCACATCTTTTGTTACGGACTTTCCCGGAAACTAGCCATCCTAGCCCTGCAAGAAAAACTGCGAACAGCCAGCCCCACCAAAGCCCAAGGTGCTTGGGGGAGCTGCCTTGGTGGGTGATTTTTTTGGGTCGGAAGCAGAACTGCACGGCCAAGCCGACCAATGCCAGGCCTGCCAAACAGTGAAGTGAAATCCTGTTGTTGGTAATGGTTCGGAACAAGCCCCTGAAAAAAGTGAATATCTTCAATGAATCTTCAAGCCAGCGCTACACGACGACAGAGATCAACACAGTGCCTTAAACTCTGAGAATGGGTCAAGGAAAACATCCATGATTCGTTACGCATCGTTACGCTCCTTTGACTCGGCCTACGAAGATCACCAAATTGACAAAGTGGTTGTCCAAAATGCTCGAGTCTGCCTACACAGGATGCAGCGGGGGGCATGCCGGGCAGCTCCTGCCCTGTCCGGAGATGTCCGGAGTTAGATTAGCAATGCATAGACAAATTATATGACGAATTGCAATCAAAGATTGGAGAAAATGATATACAATGATCAATCAATGATGAATGATAACGATGATTTTGCATCATCTTACAATAAATGTGCAATGAGCAGTTGATGAATGATAATGTGATCATAGATGATCATAGTGATCAAACTACCTGTTGAGTCAGGCTCCACCACCTGGTTGCCTGGCCTGCTCCGTGCATCCGATCAATGCCCTGCCCCAGCGCCAAGCAGCAGCCGCTCCAACCAATGCGGTCACCGCCATGACCAGAATCATGACCCAATTCCTGGCGCCAAATCATCCGAATCGCTGCTGAACTGCTGAGGACCGTTTAGGAAAACATGAAGAGAAAACGGCTCGGAAATACACCAATACCGCGCCACAGGGAAGGGATACACCGAATAGATTAGGTGGTTTCGCTCTCAAACAATTGAAGCAGCAGTGAGTCAAAATCCGGCAAAAAAAAAACATCGAGGCAACATGCTCAAACGAACTGACGAGAATATCCTGCAGATGTAGCCGGCCAAAAGAGCAATTGGGACGCCAAGCGTGATGCCTCGCCCGAGAATCAATCAAAAAAAGGCCAGCATGCTTCGATGATGTTCTAGGACAAGGTATGGGATAAACATGATACAGTGATATACAGTACGTTATTTGATCCTAGAATGTCATAGAGAAGGTTCGAAATAGCCATTCACGAATATTCAGAATAATATTCACAATATTTCACGATCAATCAGATTCGGCCCAGTATGGCCCAGTATGGCCCAGTCATGCGCAGCCTGCGAAGTTCTCCCAGCCCTGGTACTGAGAACCCAGGGCTGAGTCCAATGGCCTTGGTGGATGGCAAGGGTAACCAATAGACTCAATAGACCAATGGGTAAACAATGGGATCCAATGGGTAAACATGTCCCCTATCCCCTTGTCGCCCTTGTGCTCAGACATTGCTACATCGCACCACCTCCCATTGATTTTGGCTCTTTAATCAATACAAGTGGTTCGGAAGATAGTGTCAAGCCCTGTGGCGAGTGATGCAAGTTCATCTATGTGATTCTTGTTCATGTGTTCTGTTTCTTTATCATCAATGAAGACATACCGGCAATGGTGCAGAAAAATACGGCAAATGATGGCAAATGTATATAACTATAACTGATTATAACTGTGTAACTTTAACAGATACTAACAGTGTGCAAGTGAAATGAGTGATACTGAATTTTGAGATGCTCATAGATGCTCATGCTTCATATATGCTTCATCAATCCTTTTACATACTACAGCACTTTGACTCTGGCAAGTTCCAGGCGGCTTCTGCAGAATGTAGAGCACGGCGATGGTGAAGACAAGGCCAAGACAAATGCCGAAGACAAAGCCCAAAATCTGCTCAATGGTGTCACGGTATCGCTGTGCGAGGACCTAGGCTACCGATGGCTACCGCATCAAAAGATGTCAAAAGGGTAGTGTTCACTCCATGTTCGATTCATCCATGCAGCAAAACAAGGCAACAAATAAAACGGAAATTATCCAACGAAGCGCGCTGCACCAGATCGTGCTAGCAGCATCAGATCACATCATGAGTCATCACTATCATAACATGTCATAAAAATACATAAAACATAAAACGCATGATTTTGAAAAGCTACAAGGAAAAGCGTTCCCCAGAGGATGGAGCACACCAGAATGATCACCTGAAAGGGACACCGCTGCGATAGCAAGACTTGTACCGTAGCATTTGCAGGACCAAACATGTTCATACATGTTCTCTAGTACTGTAGCCCTTTTATGCCCTTTTCTTCCTAGAAAAACTTCTGAAGAATAAAACAACTGATATCGACGGAGCACAAAACCGGCCTTCTCTGTCACGCCGTTTGGCTCAGGGTTGCTGGCCAGCCAAGCAGAGCCAACAGCGGCTTCGATTCCAAAACTGACCAGGAAGGCAAAGACCACAAAAGCAAACTGCAGATGTTCAGAGCGGACCAGTTTGTGCAAATTTTGAGCGTGGATTGCGTGAAGTGAAGCTGGGGCTGAGGTACTATGGATGTAAAAGCGTGTGATCACAGTATGGCTGGCTTGTATGGCCGACGCCGCATAAATCAAAGTTGCAAGATTCAACCATGTGATACTAACCGTCAAGCAATCTTGACTGATTTGGTCAGATCCAGGCAGATGTGGGCAGATAGTATCAGATAGTGCTAAAATTTCAAGATTTATGCTGATGCAGTAATGGCACACCGGACCTTGTAGATACGGTAGCCAAACAAGCACACTGCCTCAAAATTGCGCATAAATTGCACAAGCATGAAGACTCAAGAGTTTGGGGGCTGTGAAGGGAAACCTGTAGTACTTTGCTGGATCTTCAACCCACATGCTGTAGAAGGCGGCGAGGCGGTCGGCGTCAGAGCCACTCACCCGAGTCAGTCGCACGACAGAAGCATTCACGATTGCACACCAGCAGGGGGAAGCAGGGAAACCATGATAGAGAAACAGACAAAGAGCCGGTCACCCCTGCAAGCCGGAAGGATCAAGGAACCCCTGGGAAAACGGAAAGTCAACAACAAAGATTCCCTCAAGAAAACCTAAAGCAACCCGAAAGAAACCCCAAACCAACACTATGTAAGTGAACGCTAAATAGACCCCAAAACAAACCCTGACAAAACTAAACCAAGCCTAAATGCACGTATATACCCTAAACCAAGCCTGAACATACCCTAAGCGAAAACATAATTCAACCGTAAACCAAACCTGGAGAAACCCTAAACCAAACAGCCATAAACCTCAAACCAAAACTAAATAAACCCTAAAACAAACCTTACAGAAGCCCTAAACCAAGCCTCACACAAACCCTGACGAAATGTTACAGTAAACCACACCTAAATAAACCCTAAACCAAGCCTAAGTGAACCCCAAACGAAGCCCAATCAATTCTAAATAGACCCTAAAACAAACCTTAACGCAACCTTACATTAACCCGAAACTAACCCTAAATAGAACCTAAACCAAGTGAATGCCAAAACCAAGCCTAAATATACCTTAAACAAACCAAACCATACCAAACCTAAATAAACCCTAATTAAACCAACCCTAAACAAACCCCAAACCAACCTTGCTCAAAACAAATCCTGACGAAAGCCTACATCAACCCTAAAAGAAGCCCTTAAAAATCTTAATTAAAAATCTCCAAGCCAAGGCTAAATAAACCCCAAACCAAGACCCGAAATAAACCCATGACGAAACCCTACAGAAACCATAAACCAACCCTAACACCAACCCTAGATAGACCGTAATACACCCCGAAACAACCCTGAACCAACCCTAAAGAAACCTGGTGAAGCCGTAAATAACGCTGAAACCAACCCCAAAAAACAACATACAGACAGAAGTAAACGCGATATCACGATGCACGATATTGATGTAATACAATTTCCCCGCCATCCTCGTCGCCCAGGGCCCTGAGGTCAGTCATCCCTCGCCACTACTGGCTGTGTGGAGGGTGACGGACTTCGACGAGGGGGGCTGAGTGACTCAGGGTGGTCTGACTCTGCTAGTGGGTGACTGACTTCGTCTATATAGTCTCGCAGCGAGGCTGTCTGCAGCACGTACGTGTGAAAACAGCATGAAAACCTTGGCACAAATGCCGAGATGATTCTGAGATGATGCGGAATCTTTCTCAGTGTTTTGGAGTGGGCCGAGCGGCCAGAGACAAGACACACAGGACGGCCACAAAAATGCCGCCAACTGTGTCGCAGGCCTGGGCTTGCGACGCCAATAACATGAAGCACAAAGACATGTGATGCACTGCCCTGCTCGAAGTTACTCGGCTTGCTTGCGTCTTGTCGCGCGTCTTGTGTTTCCATGGTTTGATTGATGTGATCCATCCCAGGCACTTGCAAGTCGTCAAAAGGCTTCAAGGCATCCTCGATGTGAGTCTCGAGAGGTGATGGGGTTGGCAGAACGGTTGGCATCCCGTCCTTGTGTCCCGAGGGCCAGGCAAAACAATACTTTTTTTGGCAGCCAACATCATGAGTGGCATGTTCGGACCGTTCTTATTCATCATCTCACTATGATACTGTGTGAAAGTCAGGCGTTGATCAAAGTCAAGCTGTTGAACTGAATGCAAACCATTGCAAACCAGTAAGGCCCCAGCACAAGCCAAGTCCGCTGAATACAAGGTTCTTCTGGAATGCGCTTGGGCCGAATTTGCTGCGCCAAGTGCCACAAGTCTCTCTCCTCCGAGAAAGCTTTGGATCCGCCAAACACTTTCACACGGAAAGGATGATGTGACTGATCAAACAGTTGTGGTGAAGGAAGAGCATATAGAAGATCATAGAAGAACACTGCGCTGCAGCTATTTGCGAAGAAGCCTTTTGCGCCAAGAGCATCCAAGAGCCAAGATTGACTGGGACAAATGACGCAAACGAACCTCGACAATTTCTCAGGAGCAGTATCCTCTGGTGGGTGTCTGGTGCCTTTTTAATGTACAGGTCCCACAGTCCCACATCATTGCCCTGTTTTGGTCGCTACGTGCAGCAGGTGCAGGTCGCCCCTGCCGTCACTTCTCGTTCTCTGTCCGTAGGCGCTCGCATTCCTTCCTGAAGACCGAGGCCTCTTTCCTGACAAGGTTCGAGACAAGAACGGAGCATCAAGAGCAGCGGTTGTGTCAGTCTATCAAAGGAGTTGTAATCGCAGGCGGGGAATTGGCAGTTGCCAGAAGATGGACTCTCTCTCTCTCTCTTTCTCCATCTCAGGAAGTTGAGCAGTCAAGCTGAAAGCGAGCTGAAAAGATCTGAAAAGGCTACTTGGCAGGTTCAGCACCCCAGCTGATTGGCCAGAAGATGGAACTGCAACTCCTAAATATAGTATTTGATAGTATTTGATAGTATTTGTATGTATTTGCATATTTGTTGCAAGTTCTTCTGGCCTCAAGGGCCGCCGATGTACAGTCATGACACGGACAGACCTCAGTTCCCCATGGAATCGTTGCAAGCTATTTTTTGGGGGGCTGATGAACTAGTGATACACACACCCGTACATGCCACATATGCATACAATTGCATACATATGCCGCATTCTGCCGCGACGACTAGTTGAAACGCGTCGAAACAGTGTGGCAACACAATTAATTACACCAGATCCTTAAGGGCAAAGATTGAGACTCCACCTGTAAATGTTCTGTGCGCTTAGACTGCGGTTAGACGGACATGAGCAAGTGGGTTCACAACCACGAGCGAAGATGCATCCGAACCGTTGGATGGGCGCAAATTGGCTGAATACTGAATATCATGAATGAACACGCATGAATGATCATCAATGCTTTGGCATGTCTGTGGCAGCCTCGCACTTTTGAAGTAAAGTGATTTGCCCAGGAATCTGGCGCTCGCCCGAAGGCTCCAGTTTGTGCATGATCAGGCTGGTACCTGCGTCCAGCCATCGAACCAACCACCACAGCAACCCCTGTCCTCAAAAATGCTCACGTGCAAAGGCCTTAGGAGAGATGCCAAGTGCGTGAGCAGAAACCACAGGTAGCATTGCGTCAGCTTCTCAAAATCCTTCATGTACCTTAAGGGTTCTCCGATGTTCTTGGCGCCCAGGTGTGCAGGGATGGTGACAATAGTTTTCACTGACTGTCAATTTGGCAAGGCAGCCTGCCTGTTTGCATTGCGAACCATCTCCTCAAACACGTTCGGCGCATGTGTCTCAAGTGGTCTAGAGGAAAACCATGTAAAAACTGAAATGAGGGTGTCAAGGATCAATCAGTCCTGCATTTCTGCATCATGTTCTTGAGCCCATTTGACCTGACAGGTCTGCACAGGACAGCTCCATTTGAACAATCTTGGATGCACTTGATTGATGTTGATTGTATTTGATTGCTTTCAGTGGCCTTTTCGCCAGCATCGCCCATGCCCATCAAGAGAACGTGTACCCCATCCTGCTCTCTGCTGCAAATGCAAGCAAAGCAAATGAATGTCCTTACTTCCTGGAGGGTCTATTCACTTCCCGGGCTCTTCACCGACAAAAAAAGCAGCAAGCTCAGCATGGCATGTGGCTCTGCCGGCCATGATTCATATATCTCTCTCTCTCTCTCTCCCTGTCTTTTGCTCTTTTCTCTCTTTCTCTTTCTCTTTCTGTTTCTCTCTCTCTGCCTCTGCATCGCCACATATCTATACATATCTGATATCTGTATATATCTGTGCTCTACGGTTGAAGCATGTTGAATCCTCCCTCCATCTATGAGCTCGTTCGAAACCACACAACACTCAAAATGACGTACAGATACGTACAGTAGTATCGATACTATGACCAGCCATCAGCCTTCAGCCTGGAATTCCATTGGAACTCCTACGCGACTCCTTTGGGGTACGTTGAGTACCTTTCCACTTTTTCCGTGCATGGCAGCAATGCATTCTCTTCCTGGAGTCCACCATGATAATGTTCATAGACAGGCTTCGCTCCAGGCACGTTCACCTAGCCACTGCGCTGCTATGGAGCTCTAGCAGCTTGGATGAAATTTTGGATTCAAAGTTCAGGGGTTGAGCTGCTGGCATCATTCAGGAAGAGCACAGCAGAGCTGGCCGTTAGCTTCTGTTTCAAAGAGCCGGAGTAGCCATTGCCTCAAACAGAATCCACAAAACTTGTGCAAATCCAGTCGAGTCTGACCATGGCGATTGCAAATCGCTGGTGAGAAAACACGCATAGAAATGCCAAGGCAACCACCGGGCAAATCTAGCAAATAGCGCCATCTTGGCCACCTGGGCTTGCACCAGACTGACGTCCCTCCAACCAGTTTCTCACATGTCTGTATGCCCAGAGCTGGCGAGCCCGCGACTGATCCAAGGGGACAAAGCTGGGATCTGTATTGACCTTGTCCGCGTTGCGAATGTCCCGCACGTCCGAAATGCAGAATAGATCTGAAATGGTCGGAATGCACAGTACAGCCAGGCAGAAAGGGCGCTGCCACAGTTGCGTTCAAAAGATCATCTTCAAGAAACGCCATATCCTTGGTGTACGATTGCTGCGGGTACTACTGAGCTCAAGGGGTTGCATAACCCGGAGGGAAAAAACAAGAATGCGACATATAATGACATGATATGACATGTAGCACCCTACATCTTGTCAAGCCTTGCGGCAACTATTCCTGCAGCTATTAAAATTGAGGTCCTAGCAAACTCGTCCTTCTGTGCCCACTCATCCAGGAAGCGCTTCCTGTGGCTTTGGGATGAAGCTGAAGGCTACTGCGCTATGCGGCTATGCGCCTTTGTCAGCATTGGTAGGGACGGTAGGGTACCGTGTTTGGATAATTTTAGAGTTCGATGAAGTTCGGTCAAGGTCCTGGGAGAGCCCTTGTACATGTCCCGCACTTCGATGGCCTCGGCACGCATTCATCCAGGACCCCAATGCATCTGCCACCCCGACAGCATCTGCATGCAATCTGTATCCTGCTCTTAGCTGCCTTAGCTATCCGATCAGCTATCCTCAGGTTGTATTCACTGATATTCACTGAGGATCTGTCCCAGTTCACCGCCCCACGGTCCGTACCCCTCCAAAATGCAATAGAGGATTTGTCCTCCCACGGTATTGAAGACATCCCAGACCTGATTTTCGGGTGAGTGGCAAAATGTGGCAAAGGGCAAGAGGCAATTGTGACCGGAGCCAAGCTGAACTGAGCAGGGCACATGTTCACTAAAGCAGGCCGGCACACCTTGCTGAATTCATCTGCATTATGAGATATTATGAGCATGTAGTACATGTAGAGAAGAATATGAGAAGATCACAAGATCAAATCTTGGTAGCGTAGCATTTTTGTCCCTAGTTTCAAGGAGGTGATCAAGCCAAAAGTGCGCATCCCAAGGCCGACACGTTTGGAAAAAGAATGTCCCAAAAATCTTCGGATGCGCAAATGCTGAAGAGAGGGGCTGGAGTGCGTGCCTTCCCAGCAGCACATGTGAAAATTAGGGATAAGACACGCTGCCTGACATTCTGCAGACATTCTGCAGGCTGAAAACTGCCTCCTTGTCCATGGGGCCATAGAAGGGTGGCTTGCCCATGGACTTCCTGGCGGATAGTTTCGGTAGAGCTGCTTTTGGAAGGTTGAATGATGTTGGATGTCGGCTTGATGCACAAGTTACACACTGGCCTCAGCAAGGGCAAATCGCCATGGTTCAAGACCATATCGAAGTCAGGAATGTCCACAGTTGCCTTGTGTTTCTGTCACGGAAGCAATCGTCAAAGCGCTTCAAAACATGCAATGAATTAAATTGGAGATGTTCCTAGATCCGATGATTGCAGCAGCGGATGCAGGCCGAAGATCACAATTCACTCATCTCAGCGCCACACCAGCAAATCCATGAGCCTTGGTGAAGAGCACTTGGCATACATAGTTTCTGAGCTCAGTCTTAAAGATCTGAAAGTCCACAATCCTGTGACAATTTGTCTGCTTCCATTGCACAACGCTCAAGATACTTACATGTACAGTAACATTAACCTATTTTAGCAACAGGCCTTTCAAAGTGTTTGCTCCTGGGCTTCAAGCGCATGTGCCAGGCAGGCAGGTTCAGCAGCTCCGAATTCAACGTCCAAATGCGAGTGGGTAGGAATGACCTGCATCACGAAACACTCAAAACCAGATGTTTGACCCACGTCATCCAAGTTCAGGAATGTGAGCAAGCTTGCAGGAGGCTGAGATGACTTGCAATCTTTTTCCGGGTGTAGCTTCTCAGGAGCAGCCAGGTGTACCATCCAATCTACTGTACATGATCTACATATATCATCAATATTTGTATATATATATATATATCAATATATCAATTAATAGCAGATATGCTGTATGTACATCGTGGCACCGCAACGACAGTTGTTGCGTCAGGTGCTAGTCAGGGATTCAAGCCAGTCCCCGGAGATACCTTCCAACAAGAGCAACTTCTGCCAAACAATCCCGGCAAACCAAGGCTACTCGTGACTTAATTTCAAGTGATTTTCCTTCGATCATTCGAATCCAGCTCGAGATTCTTAAAAAGAGATCTGACTGTAAATACTGTATTACTCAAACAATGGCGAATTCTGCTGTCTGATGCGCACATACATAATACGACTGCATCATATCATACGAGCACCGTACTTAAGTCACATCAGGCGGGAAAAGTCACATCATCCCCATGGCACGGCGGCGATACGGAGAAGTCACATCAGGTAGTGGTAAGTCACATCAGGGAAGAAGAATCACCATGGCACAGCCTGTTTCATCCATACTTGGAGATGTAGTTAAAAGTAGCCGAAGCATTGCGCACAGCGATGATTTTGAAGGGCACAAGTTAATACAAACAAATTCTCGGCAGCTAATCCTATTGGATTTGAATATATTATATTGACGTCCTGCGTCGCGTGACCATATCAAACCCCTATTGGTACAGCCTCAAATTTCTTGCAATGCAAGTGGGTTAGCTGTAGCAAATCCATGCAAATCCTATTGGCAGGGCTATGATCTAGGATGATATAAGGATACCCCTTGTTTTCCGCAACCAAATCTATGGCTGGCGCGATGTGCATCAATGTCGTGGACAGCTCTCAAGAAGTTTGTTGTCCTATCCACCCAGGAATTACGAACTGGAAAAAAACCTTCATTCCATTGCGGGCGGAAAGCGTGGCAGGTTTTGTCGGTGCTCCGTCTGCGCCGTCTGTTGTGTCTGTTCCGTCTTGCGCCGTCTTGCCGTCTGCGCCGTCTTGCGAGATGGTGCGAGATGGCGGAGATGGTGAGCACAGCGACACAACCGCGCTATGCGACCGCAATGTTTCAGTCCAACCAGCCAGAAACATTCCCTCTCTCTGCTGGTGTCTCCCGCCCGTACCTCCCGTCAGCGCCAAACAAGGCGACCGAGACTGTTATTTTCTGTTTCGGCAAAATGTTTTGTATCATATCTTTATATATATATAGATTTATTTATTTATTTATACGTACAACAATCACCGCATGTAAAGCCATGGCAAACCCGCGCATTGCAGCCCTGGAACTCCTCTTTCATGTCATCCTGCAAATCTTAGCATTCAAAAAGGATCAAACAGGTACCCAATGAGGCCAAACATGGCCAAACCATGTTCCATTAATGTTCCATGCTCAGTGATGATGTGCAAAATGTTGCGCGACTTCTGTGCCCCTGGAATCCTGCGTCTTCAATTTAGGCGAGCGCGTCCTTGGACGTTTTGCAGTGCATCCAAGGGTGTAACCATCGGAATCATCGGAGTAGTTTAAAGAATTGATAAGAATTGGCAATTGTTCCCGTCGAACAGAGATTAAAAAAGAGTGATTTACATATTATACTTTCATTACTTTCTCAATTCTGTTGTTTTTCATCTTTGCTTATGATTTCTAGTCCCTCAAATGGCTTGAAACCCTCCATTGACAAGGCCGAAGAGCAAAAAGTGTTCAGTCTGAGGGACCCAAACCCGATAATTAGCAATGTAAATAGAGACCGGATACTAGCAGGATGGAGATGTTTTCTTGTAAGGAGTTTGATTTGGGCGATTGAGACATATTGATTATTGAGACAAGCCTGTTGTCACGACTCTCACGAGTTCCACCCCGTGAGATGCCGTGGATGTAACGCACATATGCAGCCAAACAAGCAAGGTCGAAGCCTGTTTGACTGAGATTCATTTGAGAAACCAAATCCTCCAGATGTGCCATGGCTTCATCGGAGTCATCACCTTGGCCAGGCTTCAGACAGAACGTGTCTACGACATGTCTACAACATCCCACGAATGTGAACCTGTGAGAAATCGTTCAATCATTGTCAATGCGGTTTTAATATGTTTTAACATGTTTTAACATGTTTTAACATGTTTTAACAGATCATCCAAGGAACTCTGAACATTTTGGTACTGCAGCTTTCTGATTTCCTCCTCTTCAGCTGCCTCCCAGCTGGCTGAGTCCCAATCAGGGTTCCATCAGATGACGAATATGGCGAATGGCGAATAGGTAAAGCGAAAGATTGCAAACTAGACGACGGATGGCCCGAGAGCGTAGAGGAGCAGGGTCTTCTCTTGTTAGTATGGAGATGCAATTTTAGAAACGGTATATGAAAGCTGTGTTATAGGCAGTCGAGAAGAGGAGTATCAAGACAAAATAGTGAGAAGTGCAAGACAATAGTTTGCATCGCAAACACTTTTACACACAGACGCTTTTACACAGACGCTTTTACACACAAAGCTTTTACCCACAGAAGCTTTTACACACAGAAGCTTTTACATACAGAAGCTTTTACACACAGAAGCTTTTACATACAAACACTTTTACACACACACGCTTTTTACACACAGACACTTTTTACACACAGACGCTTTGACACACAAACACATTTACACACAGACGCTTTTACACACAGACGCTTTTTACACACAAACGCTTTTACACAAACACTTTTACACACAAACACTTTTACACACAGACGCTTTTACACACGGACGCTTTTACACACAGAGACTTTTACACACAGAGACGCTTTTACACACAGAAGCTTTTACACACAGACGCTTTTACACACAGACGCTTTTTAAACACAGACGCTTTTTACACACAGACGCTTTTACACACAGAGACTTTTACACACAGAGACACTTTTACACACAGAAGCTTTTACACACAGACGCTTTTACACACAGACGAAAGGGTTGCTCCGGCACAGGAAAAATCGCAATTTTACCTCAGTTTTTGCCGATCGACCCTCATTTCGTGCGAAAGGGTTGTTCCGGCACAAGTAAAATCGCAATTTTACCTCAGTTTTTGCCGATCGACCCTCATTTCGTGCGAAAGGGTTGCTCCGGGGCAAGTAAAATCGCAATTTTACCTCAGTTTTTGCCGATCGACCTTCATTTCGTGCGAAAGGGTTGCTCCAGGACAAGTCAAATCGCAATTTTACCTCAGTTTTTGCCGATCGACCTTCATTTCGTGCGAAAGGTTGCTCCGGACAAGTAAAATCGCAATTTTACCTCAGTTTTTGCCGATCGACCCTCATTTCGTGCGAAAGGGTTGCTCCGGGACAAGTAAAATCGCAATTTTACCTCAGTTTTTGCCGATCGACCCTCATTTCGTGCGAAAGGGTTGACGTTTCGTGACTCGCCGCCGGCACCACCCTCGGCCTTAAGAGAGAAAGATAAAAAGAAGGCATGAGAGAGAAGGTGAGCAGGTGTGAAGATAAGAAGATGTGAAGATGAGCAGATGTGAACATGAGCAGATGTGAAGATGAGCAGATGTGAAGATGAGCAGATGTGAAGATGAGAAGATGGGAAGATGAGCAGATGTGAAGATGAGCAGATGTGAAGATGAGCAGGTGTGAAGATAAGAAGATGTGAAGATGAGCAGATGTGAAGATGAGCAGATGTGAAGATGAGCAGATGTGAAGATGAGCAGATGTGAAGATGAGATGTGAAGATGGGAAGGTGTGAAGATGAGCAGATGTGAAGATGGGAAGGTGTGAAGATGAGCAGATGTGAAGATGAGCAGATGTGAAGATGAGAAGGTGTGAAGATGGGAAGGTGTGAAGATGAGCAGATGTGAAGATGGGAAGGTGTGAAGATGAGAGGATGTGAAGATGAGAGGATGTGAAGATGAGCAGATGTGAAGATGAGAGGATGTGAAGATGAGATGTGAAGATGAGAAGATGTTTTACAGACCCCCACTATTGGAAGAACCCTGCGCTCAGACGCTCTCGGGAAAAATGGCAGAAGTATATCTGCAAAAACGCACACCATTGATAATTATCCAAAGAAACACAGAAACAGCTGGCATCACTTGGGAGGAGCAAGCGCAAGGCTGTGGATCACAGATTGCGGGCGTCTCAGAAAGGCGAGGCTTGGGCTGGAATACAGAAAGGTAAGATAGTGCACTTAAGGCCGCAGGTTGGCAACCTGCAAAAAGAAGCTTTCAAATACCGAGGTTTGTGCGGGCAAGGCTGTAGGGCATTCACACGCAGCTTGGGGCTTGGATTGGTAAGGTTGGAAGATCATCTGCAAAAAAGGGGACAAGATACAAGCGGTCAGAAAAAATATGGACAAGTGATCAATAGACTCAATAGTAAACCCAGAAACATCTCAAGTCAGAACGATCTCCAGCCTGAACAGCTCGAGCATGCCATGCATCGGCGCATGCAAAAAACTTCGCCAATTGCTCCTTCTCCGGCCCTTCACCCTCCACCTGGGCAGCAAATGAGCAGCCAAAGCCAATGCACGTGTGCTGCAAGGTTTTTGATAAATGGATAATATCTTGGTACATTAAATGTAATATATAAATATATATAATATAATATACACGGAATTTCGTAGCTCCCCCAAAATATTCTGAAATTTTGCCCCATTTTGTGAACCTGCCTGAGACCGCTCCAGTGACCATTGTTCCCGATGATGTCTGTGGCAGCTCTCGATCCAATCATGCATTTGCTCAGCCGTGTCGAATTCCCGAACCTGAAACCTGAACACCGCAAAGCACCAGAAAGGGAGGCAACCCAGCAAAACAAGATGAGACGACATGAGCCATGCTAGGCAATGCAGTTGCAATGTCAGCCACTTTCTAATTCTTGCCTAGCAACTTCAAACAATCTCCATCTGGTAGTGGCAGCAAGCAGCCCAAGCCGCTGGGCAGCAAGGTCATGCCTGACAAGAAACAGGATGGCGACAAGGGAACACTTGGAGTGCACCTGTGCGTTTTCAAAATAGTGTCAATCTTAGATACCCTGCCAAAATTAAATTCTAAGCTGGTTAGTAGATAATCCCATTGTTACCAAAAGACTAAAGGGTTAAAGTACCCATCCTAGTTAAAACATAGCACTTCCATGCACTTCCCCTTTAAGAGTCTCCTACGGAATCAAAATAACATCGTTTGACATGTTATTGTTCGACTTCCAGCAAATTCTGCGCACCTAGGAGCTCGACGGGCACAGTTGGATGATTCCCTTGAAGTAGTTGAGTTTCAATCGTAGCAAGTTCTCGTGCAAGTCGCTGCCGGCAGTGAAGCTGCAGCCTGAGAAATGCATTAACATTGATGCGTAAACTCTAGCATACACCACAGGTACAACAAGTTAATTAATTCCCTTCGACCCAAACAAAGACTGTTAACATTCATGTGCGCTGGTAGATGAATAATTAGATTCTATAGGTAAATTGATAAATGAACGAATTCATGTTTATTTGAACAAGACAAACAAAGAATGACAGAATTAATTAATGAATCCATGCATGCATGCATCACGAACGAAAGACTGACTGAATGAATGAATGAATGAATGAATGAATGGATGAATGAATGAATGACTGACTGACTGACTGAATGAATGAATGAATGACTGAATGAATGAATGAATGAATGAATGAAATAATGAAATAATGAAATAATGAAATAATGAAATAATTAAATAATTAAATAACGAAATAATGAAATGGAAGAGTGAGTGCGCACTAAGTATTATTTGGGAGGGTGCATGAGTGAGTCCGTTGCTCTTATGTTATTTATGTTTGTGTTGCAGGTAGGTATACATATTCGTCGCATTTCTATCTGTATATTTCCCATCGGCTTGGGGTAGCTATGAGTAGCTCTTCGCTGCGACTCTACTTGAACTGAGTTATGTTGCTGCTGCACATTCGCCACGTATTTCCAAATCAAAATCTATATTTGCATTTGCATGTAATTATTTTGATTATTGCTATAGTACTCTTATCATAATTAGATAATCACATACGTGAGGAATTGTATACGTATCATCTCTCTCATGTACTACTCTTCCCACCTCCACGCCTCTAGCTTGGAACGAAAAGGTGCATGTTTCACATTTTTTTCCATTAGAGCTGCAAGATGCTGCAAGAGGTCCAGCCTGAGTTTCGTGACCTCATGGTTCATCAAGGCTTGCCAGGCTTTCTTAGCGGCTGGCCCGGCTGGCTTACTTTTGGCCTGACCTGCGCGATGTTGCTCTGGCACCTGCGGCTCATGGTTGCTAAGTTCAGATTTATATATGCCTTACTGGGAGGGCTGATGAGAGCCGCATAGAACCGCTCAACAACAAATATACGATTCAGCATCAAACCACTTGCAGCCACATGAACCAGTCGATGCAATCAAAGCAGACAAAAGGAATAAAAAAGGAATGAAAAAAATGGGCGGCAACATCTCCGCTGGAGAGAAATGGCCTGAATTGCTTCCAAGCTCCCAGAGCCAATGCTCATTATCACTTCTGGCGGTTGTCTCTGAGGCACGTCCTGCAAATACAAACTTGTATCAGGAGAGATTTCGGTTCCCACATGTTCCAGTAAATCTTGCCGCTTTCACTTTCCAAGGGAGGGCTTTTCTTGGAAAGGGTGTCTTTGATTTCATTTTAGTTTTTTGAGCTCCGTTTTGGATTCCTTAAGGGCCAACGTGTGGCAAGAATGGCTGTTTGAGAGAGTCCACTGGCATCACTCGCTTGTCCCACCCAGAAACTCTCAAAGAGCCCGTCCTTGAGGGCACTAGTCTTTGTAGTGTTGCCTGTCCGCTCCCAAGTTACCACCGGAAATGACCGAAAACATCTGAGCTGCAACTGCTGTGCCAGTAATTAAGCAACTTGGTGTGCGAAACATCGCACATGTCAAGAACTGCACGGGCCTTCCAGTGTTTCTGCCTCTTTCTGCCAGTCGTCTGATTGTGCGAGCTCAACTTCATCTCTCCCCCTGAGACCTCACAACGAGCACTGATGAGTCTGCTTATGTCTTCTCAAGTCTTCTTAGTTTGCTGTGGGAGCCATGTCAGTCAATTAGATTGGCAGTTGCCCACATCATCCCACATCACTATCATCACTTTTTGTAGAGTGAGGAGAGTGCTGCGGAAGTCCCTCCAGCATGGTGGCATGGTGGGTGCTTGAGACATCTTGAGACACCGCCAAGGGACTGTGAATGCCAGCCTCGTGGGCCCGCAATGCCATCCCCGCAATTTGCCACTCTGGGAGGTCCACCACTTGCCTCCAAAGTAACCAGGGCGATGCAAGGATTTCCAAGGATGGAGCCAAATGGAGCCAACTATAGCCAACTGCTGTTGAACGAGATTGCTCAATATTGTGCCAGCATGTTTGCGAATGGGCAAGAGCACAATGCTGGTGAGTTCAATCTGCAAGCCTTTGAAAGGTGCAAATGATAGGAAATCGCCGTTCCAGATCTTGAGACACATCCTTGCAAGTGCAGGCTTTGACTGCATCTCAAAGGTTCCGTTTTTTTTTGTGAGTTTCCCTTTTAAAAGCCCTGCGGTCCTCAATCTGAACCTGGACGGTACTTCCCAAAGGATATGTCTCCACGATCCTCTCCAGCAGCTCAGGGTCCTCCTGGCATTCAAGTAAACAGCGCATCTTCAAATGAGTATGGGTCAAACATCCCTCTGTTTTGCACCACGAGATGGATTATAGTGAATGTTAATCCCCCCATTCCCATGGTTCCATAGGTGTTGGTCGATCCGTAAATGTGGCCTCCATCCGAACGGGTATCAAAGCATCCACTGCCACGCCGATGTCAACCCGTATGCCATCGAGAAGGGAGATCTTGGCGCGGAGGACAACTCAATTGGGCGTCTTTGTGATACAAATATATAGATCATGATAGATGTATAGTTGCAGGCCGCAGGTCTCCTGTTTTGGGCTATTGAAAGCGGAGCAGCCAAAAATCCGGATTGCCAAAATTCCCAGGTTCCCAGGAAGGGGTTCCCAAGCAAGGTTCCCAAGCAAGGTTCCCAAGCAAGGTTCAGGCAAGGTTCCCAAGCAAGGTTCCCAAGCAAGGTTCCCAAGCAAGGTTCCCAAGCAAGGTTCCCAAGCAAGGTTCCCAAGCAAGGATCCCAAGCAAGGTTCCCAAGCAAGGTTCCCAAGCAAGGTTCCCAAGCAAGGTTCCCAAGCCAGGTTCCCAAGCCAGGTTCCCAAGCAAGGTTCCCAAGAAGAGCTTCCCAAGCCAGGTTCCCAAGCAAGGTTCCAAAGCAAGGTTCCCAAGCAAGGTTCCCAAGCAAGGTTCCCAAGAAGAGCTTCCCAAGCCAGGTTCCCAAGCCAGGTTCCCAAGCAAGGTTCCCAAGCAAGGTTCCCAAGAAGAGCTTCCCAAGAAGAGCTTCCCAAGAAGAGCTTCCCAAGAAGAGCTTCCCAAGAAGAGCTTCCCAAGCAAGGTTCCCAAGCCAGGTTCCCAAGCAAGGTTCCCAAGCAAGGTTCCCCCAAGCAAGGTTCCCAAGCAAGGTTTCCAAGCAAGGGTCGCAAGCGGGGTTACCAAGCAAGGGTTCCCAAGCAAGGTTCCCAAGAAAAAGTTTCCAAGCAAGGGTTCCAAGAACAGGTTGCCAAGCAAGGGTTCCAAGAACAGGTTGCCAAGCAAGGTTCACAAGCCAGGTTCCCAAGCCAGGTTCCCAAACAAGGTGCCCAAGCAAGGTTCCCAAGCCAAGCAAGGTTTCCAAGAACAGGTTCCCAAAGGTTTCCAAGCAAGGTTCCCAAGCCAGGTTCCCAAGCAAGGTTCCCAAGCAAGGTTCCAAAGCAAGGTTCCCAAGCAAGGTTCCCAAGCAAGGTTCCCAAGAAGAGCTTCCCAAGCAAGGTTCCCAAGCCAGGTTCCCAAGCAAGGTTCCCAAGCAAGGTTCCCCCAAGCAAGGTTCCCAAGCAAGGTTTCCAAGCAAGGGTCGCAAGCGGGGTTACCAAGCAAGGGTTCCCAAGCAAGGTTCCCAAGAAAAAGTTTCCAAGCAAGGGTTCCAAGAACAGGTTGCCAAGCAAGGGTTCCAAGAACAGGTTGCCAAGCAAGGTTGAGAACAGGTTCGCAAGCAAGGTCCCCAAGCAAGGTTTCCAAGGACAGGTTCCAAAGACAGGTTTCCAAGCAAGGTTCGCAAGAATAGGTTTCAAAGGACAGGTTTCCAAGAACAGGTTTCCAGGAACAGGTTTCCAAAAACGGGTTCCCAAGCGAGGTTACCAAGCAATGGTTCTCAAGGAACAGATTTGCAAGCAAGGTGTCCAGGCACAGGGTGTCCAAGCAATGTTTTTGTTTCCCGACAGATGGTCATTCAAAGGTTTATCTCGGTTTATCTCAAACAGCTCTCAAACATCATTCCGACAAACATTTGTTGACTTTTTCATGTAGTTGTTGCTGTAGGGGATATTTTTTGGGCTTATTTTTTTAAATGAAGAAACCATTATGAACCACTTTGCTCGGCCATGCTCGGCCACAGTCCACTGAGACAAGTGGGGCCAAGTGACCTCAACTACTCGCCCACTGAGCCGGTCTCCAGCGTTCAGTTCGTCAATGGTTCTTCTTTTTGCCTGCGGCAATGGCCAAGAATCCTGGAGACACCAAACACATGAAATATGTGTACATAGATTAATGTAGATTATATACACAAATTACACAAGCTGGAGCAGGAGGATGCATCTGGATGCAGTCATTTCCATCTGTCAGGACTTTTGACCTTCCATTTGTTTGTATGAATTTTGCGTGTGTGTGTGTGTGCGTGTGTGTGTGCGTGTGCGTGTGCGTGTGCGTGTGGGTGTGGGTGTGGGTGCGTGTGGGTGCGTGTGGGTGCGTGTGGGTTTGTGTGTGTGTGTGGGTTTGTGTGTGTGTGTGCGTGTGCGTGTGCGTGTGCGTGTGCGTGTGCGTGTGTGTGTGTGTGCGTGTGCGCGTGCGCGCGTGCGCGCGCGTGCGCGTGCGCGTGCGCGTGGCGCGTGCGCGTGCGCGTGCGCGTGCGCGTGCGCGTGCGCGTGCGCGTGCGCGTGCGGGTGCGGTGGGGGTGGGGGTGTGGGTGTGGGTGTGTGTGGGTGTGTGTGTGTGTGTGTGGGGGTGTGGGGGGGCCTTGCTGCTTTGCAAAGGCTCGCGAACATTGCAAATCCTTAGAGGTGGAGAGATGGCAGAGAAATGGCAGAGAGATGGCACATGAAACCCAGCTACCAAGGCAACGAGATGCAAGGAATGCCCTACCAACCGTTTGCAAGGAATTGCCTTCGGAATCACCTTCGGAATTGCCATCTAAGCTTCTCTAGGGGCATGCCCGATGCAATTCGAGATTGTTTAGCACTTTGTTGTCCTTCGTCTGCGGCAAATGGCCTGCGACCTGCGCCCTGAGGTCGCAAATTGGCAGCTTTGGCCTCGGTGGACAGGATGGAAATTCAGGATGGAGCCTTTGGGAAGGTCAGCTCCGACAGCTCCCTACCGTCAGCTCCCTACAATACTTGATGCAAGGTACCGCATGCAATTGAACTTTTCTCAGCAAATCTGGTCCTCAGAATGTCAAAGTAGCTGCAACAATGAAAAGCAAGATTTTTTTGCCACATGATGTCTTTCTAGCTGCAAGGACTTGAATGTTCCAAGCGAAGGAACACTCAAAAGAAAGTCGAAAGGAAGACGATTCACACGAAGGGGATTCACACGAAAGGTGCAACCTATAGAGATTTTGAAAGAAACCTGAGACATCCTGAGACATCCTGAGACTCTCTGATCATCTCTGTGCATCGGAAGTGCTGATGGTTTCTGGGGGTCTCTCTTCTGGAACCAGCACTTTCTTCACAGCTTCAAGGTGTTGTGGATTGAGCAACCTCAGTGATGTCATGTTAGACAAATAATTGACAAATAATGCAAAATATACACAAACTGACACTATAGACGCCATAGAGCCGTTGCCAAGCCAAAACCTGACAATACCTCACTTCCTCTGCGAGAACTTCATGGAGCTTGCGAGATGCTCAATCCATGTCCTGTCTGGATATGTCACTTGAACCGTTGCTAAATAGACCCCGGCCTCAGAATCAATTGTTTTTTTGTCTGCTTCTTGGGTAAGTGGATGGAAGCTTGCGCAGCAACCAGCTCAAGCTCGCTTTTCTCCAGCTCTTGCAAGTGCTCATGCAGGATTCTGAACTCCTCAGTGTAGCCCCCCATGCTGTGGAGCATAATGAGCATAAATCCTTTACTCTGATTGAAGTACAGGAAGGCAATTGCCTTCCACTAGCCTCCGTCTGCAGCTTTGTAAAGCAGTGGGCATCTTGATTTCAGTGGAATTGCTTTCTGAAACTCATGCGGACTCATGCGTACCCAGAATCGACGTCATGGAACTCTTCTTTGGGAACCTTTTGAAGAGCGCCTGCCTGCAACCATGGGAACCGCCGGAGCATCAAACACGCATTCGAGTGATACAGTTTTGAGTTTGTTCAGGGCTTCGGGTAGATTGTCTGTTTTGTTCAGCGTGTTTAGAGGAATGATCAAAAGAGTCCAGTGATGTTTGGGCTTGCAGCAATAGGCTCCTCTTGCTCGCCAGTGGTTGCAAATTCCAAATGGCACTTCCAGTGATACACAAAACAAAATCCTCTTGCTCGTGAAAAAAAAATCACCTCTGGACTCTGGCTGCAGTGCAGATATTTCCTAATCATGACATAGAGCACTCGCTAGTTCAAGTGTCAAAGCACATCTCTCGTCCTTTGAGAGTCATCTGAGGTCCTGCTTTGCACCTGCCTTGGTAGCTTTAACATGGCGCTTCTGCGACAGCAAGGAGGCAATGCCTCGTCAGGAACTCTCTGCACCAAGCTTCCGTCTCACAGCTAAACTAGAAATCACATGAAATCACTATTGAAAGATATTGAAAGTCTTTCAGTCTGCATTCTTCCGTAAGTCTTTGCTCTTGAAGGAAAATGTCAAAATACGCCCCACCTGCAACAGCAGCAAATTGTCCACTGCAATGAGGTGCTATTTGGCCAAATGCTGCTCGATGTCTGTTTGAGGAGGTTGAGGTCCATCCTCGAAACTCAAAACTCAATGAAACAATGTCTGCTGCCTGAAATCTCAGCAGTATAGGCATGGGACAAAAATATTTCTGCTGCCTTCGCTACCACGCACTGATTCGTTGCTTTTGTGCATAATACTCTGCTAATCCACCACTCCAATACAGACCATATACTGTACCTGTCTTTGATGGTCTTGCTCACACTACTGCTGTCAAGTCGCTCGGTGTGAAGGGTGCTGGCTCAGCTGTTTGTGGAGCAAGGACTTGCATTGCTCCGGGCTCGCAAGGGCAGTGCAGACCAAACTTTTTTGCGAGAACAAATCGCAAGAACAAAGGGACTGCAGTTGAATTCCTTAAGATGAATGACTTTGGCAGATTTTGGCAGGATGGTTGGGTTGAAAGAGCTGAGAGTGCAACCGAAGTTGCTAGCTATTGATGTTGATTCTGCAATGCTGCAGGTGCGTAGCTCACAGTACGCAGAACAACTGGAACATCGCATGAACGGGGTAAGGAACAACTCGTCCTGCAGCCTTGCTGGCCACAACTGAGATGTGTCTGAAAATCCCCATTTATTCCAGTTGCATCCTGATGCTGCTTCTACTATGCTTCTATTGGACTAAGATCTTCAAACAAGGCCTGCACCAACTGGTCACCGATCAAGCGGAAGAGCACCTGCTCTGAAAATTGAACACACTCATTAGTCTTGGTAGTGACACATTTGACAGTGATTTGCCAGTACCTTCGGCTTTCTACTGTAAGTTGCATTGCCAGTGAATTCCCCCGGCGTAATCACTGTGGATGCTGCTGTCTTTTGATCTGTAGTTGGCCGGAAGGCACGGACCTGGTCCTGCAATGCTAACGGCAGCAGAATCCGCAAGTCAATTCCGTAGCTGGATTCGAGGTGCACGAAGTATGTGTTGATTATCTCTTGTGTAAATGTAGTTGTTGTGATGCACTCCCCCACGATGAAGGGGGATCAGGGACACATCTAGTATACACAGCAGCAAAATATCTGATGACTCTATCCACACAGCTGGGTATTTGTAGCACATCATATCCCATCCTCCAGGTAGATACCACGAGACCACCACGGTTCCAGCCCCTGACGCCACGATAGCTGCTACCCGGGAGGCTGCACAAATTGAATATGAACAATTTGTATCTAAAATTTGAATACACAGTAATATGATGTAATATGGCCAACATGTCCAATACCGTGCAATCATGCCCAAAGAGTCCAGGGAAATTCATCTTGCTACTTGACCTCTTGCATGTAAATGATCGCAACGCAGTGCAAAAGCAGCTGCAACAACAGCACAACGATTTGGCGGCTCCCGGCATCTGCCGGCCCCCTTATTATGCAAAATGGTGTGTTGTGTGCATGTGTGCCACAGTGTGTGTGTGCATGTGTGCGTGCGCCTGCCGTATGGTTGCAAAGAAGTTGCAGCGGCCAGACGGGGTTTGGGCAAACCGCACCACACAACCTTCATGAGGAGACTCCTGCCCAAGACAAACGTGCAGCTGGTGCTGCTTCCAGAAGGAATCCTCGCGTCATCTTCATGAATTGTCAACGCACATAACCATCACAATGTATCAAGGTCATAATGTTCATCACTTTATCATTATTATCTGTACGGTTATCATGATTATTGTCATTTATATATAATACATAATGAATCAAAATATATCAAAATCATAATACATTCACATCATTGACGGCAGCAACCCTTAAGATCCCAATAGTATCAATGATTATTTGGGAGATCCCGGTGCCTCAGGAGCTGATGGCTCAGGCAAATGCATTGACAGCTGAGAGGCTGCAGAGAGGCGAGCTGCCACCAATGGCAGCGGGTGACTGGCATCCGCCAAGACCAAATCCATCAGCGTCGTGCGCTGCTCAGCCTGCATCACCAAACCTTCGGTCTCAACGTCGTAGACGGGAAGACGGGTCCATGCAATGGCCAGGATGGCGGCTGATGCAAGTGAAGGACATGAAGCGGCGCTGTCATCCATGAGGAAAGATAGACTCTTGGCAGTCAATCCAACTCCTGTGGAAGGCTGGTGTTGAAGAGCCATTTGCAAGCTCCTTGTATAGCCCTCAGTTCCAGAGCAAACATGGCAGCAGCCTGCTACGCCGGATAGATGCTTGTGCAGCAAGAGCAAGAGCTGGAAGATTGGCCAGCCAGATCTCAACAGAGTTCTCCAGCCAAAGGCGTTGAGAAGCGCAAAGTCTGAATCCAAGGTCGCCACTTCCTCACGGTCAAGCTGAAGGCCTTCCACAATATGTAGGGCGACACTTCCAAGTGGACAGTCTGCTACCTCTGCATCTGTATCTGACTCCAGTTCCTCCCGAAAATCTGCCACCACTGAGAGTGCTTCTTGCACGGAGATGGCAAAATGACGTGCATTGGGGTTGGCTATGGCATACAAGCGGCTTCGCAACAAGGTCCAAGGCCCTGAGCACTCGAGGACTTCCACAGACTGTGCTACCTTTGCACGCAAAGCCAGGGCAGCAAAGGTGGCCCTTGCCATCGGGCCGCGATCATCTCAGCCATGACAGCAGGGCCCAGAATATACAGAGCATTTCACCATAGTTTACCTACCGGATCCTACAGAATTACTAGATTGATGTTACTAGGGTGCATGGGATGTGCATGGTGAGGCAGTCTTGAAACTGAGTTAACCTGATCCTGTCACATCTGTCACAATTCGCAAATCATCTCAGCGGATGGTTATGGCTATGACGCTTCGGGCTGGACATGGCTGGACCTTGGGGCTCCCTGTGGATGCGGCTTCCGTGCGCTATATGCATGTGGACTTACCATCACTTACCATGACTTACCAATGTCGTATGGAATTGACTCACTGATATTCACTAGACTATATAAATTTATATAATATAAAATAGTATACGTGATTCTCGTGCTGTCATGTGCTCCAAGACATGTTGTGGCACAATCTTTGGTTGCACTTGCAACATTAAGTGCCGCTTCAATATAAGCCAGGAGGCTGCAGGACAGCTCTCTAATTTTGAAATTGACTGCACTTTTCTCGCGAGCCACTTTGCACCCCTGATCTTGCAATTGGTCAGAGTCAGAGTTGCAAACATTTCCGAGTGCAGCACGGCACATCCGCCCTGAACAAACTCCAGCTGATAAGGCCTGCCAGCTCTAATCTTGAAGGCTTCTGCCGCTTGTGCCCTGCTGGTCTGGTATGGTGCGGTAGAACCTGCCCCAAAATCCTCGGCATGTGTTGGCTTCACCAAATGATAGCTGTCTCCTAAACCCGCAGGGGATTTGCCTTAGCTCTGTCTTCCCATTTCCGAAGCATTCCAAAAGTCGTTTGTGGATTGCTGATCTACTCTGACCATCTCCTGTATGGTCTTTGTTGTGCTCCAGCGCCTAGGGAGTCGTGTCAGGAAGACAGCTTCAGTCAGTGGCGGCCGCTGGTTTTGAGTGTAGTAGGCCGTGAGCTTCCTGCGTCCGATGCTTGATACATTCTTCCGCACCGGGTGCCAACATCATACCTCTTTGAAAAAGATGTATGAAAACCAAGAGAAACATCGATTGATGCTTGATGTTCAATGTGGTGCTGGTCAAAATCTCCAGGATTTAGTCATGTCCATTCCAAATCTCAAGGGACTTAGTCTCCTCTGGAAGTGCCCAACCTTAACTTCCAGCATCGGAAGCTCGCTATGCAAAGTTCAACCTGCTATAATTCTGCAGCTTCACATTCCACCTGTTGCCTCCCCTGAGTCACAGGCAGAGAATGCATAGTTGTGAATGCAAGAAGCCTGCGCGTGCTTGCACAAGCGTTGTCCATCAATAGCCATCTAGGAGGTATAGTACAAATCCATACCAATTGTGTAACACGGACTTTCTCGGGAGGATTAAGGTATTAACGGAAACAGTAGCTGAAGGGGCTGAGATATGGATGTGATATGGATATTGGTCATTTGGCCTCATTTACAACTTCATGTCCTGATGTGTAGAAACTGACAGAGTGGGGACTGGGTTAGAACTTATAATTGGCGCAGTCGCAGGCAAAGGAGAAAGTGTCTAGTCTTATGGTTTTCCCGACCTTCTGAACTGCCATTACATTCATTTCATTTCCAGATCCGATCCAATCACGTGGTATACATGGAATGGATTTGTTTTGAAAAGCACCACGGGTCATCTGCCTTTTTCTCCTTATGGACGCAAGGCTGAGATTTTTCTCATTTATAATATCTTATCTTACTTAAATGATCTTAAATACCTGTAAGTTCTGTGGCCCTGGGTAGCCTGCCTCTGTGGTGTTGTCGCACCACGAGAAAGAATACCTGAGCAACACCAGGAATCTCAACAATAGGGGCTTAAAGAGCAGGTTGGATAGCTCGGATTGCGAGGAATCAATCAGATGCAGTTGCAATTGCCAAGGTATGCAGTTTGACCCCAAGTGAAAGCGAGCACTGCGTACTCAGGGTAGCAAGTGAAGGCAACCACGCCCTCTAGGATGCCCAAAAATGCTGCACCTGGAAAGGCTGAGAAACAATGGGTCACAATGGTCACATCTGCGCAACGCGCAAATACAAAAAATACACTGTTTCTGTGGTGCGCGAGCTTCTTTGCCTCGCAGCATCGCATGTCCACGAAGCTTCCAATTATGGCCCAGCCCGCCCTTGCCACAATTTGAACTCTTGTCGTGCTTGTTGTAAACTGCGCTATTTGGAAGGGAAATTCAATGATAAACAAAGAAATGCTCAGTTGGTTCGGGTGAAGTACCACATGCCCTGAAGAGGAGTCTCAGGCTGTGTCTGGTTTTGTCTAGGCCTATGTTGGCGCCCAGCTTGGGCTGCCGTAGCTCTGTTTGCAGCTTAGGTGGAAATCAACTACTATATATATATAATTATATATATACCGTTGCTGTGTCACTGTATGAACTGCCCATAACTGCCCTCAATTTGTTGGCACTGCATCACCTGGCACACGCTGTTTTTGTTTTCCCGTTTACAATGTTTATATATTCAGATATTGATTCATGAAGCTGTGCAGGGCACCGTATGGCTTGGGCAATAGCAGCGATGAAGCATCAGTCATGGGACAATGCATGCCCGCAGGGGAATGGGAACGTGTGGGCACCATGTGAAATGAAAATGCATTGGTATGCATTGGGCAGCAACTGCTCACTGCGAAAGGGCCCTCCTATCGGTGTCTTCCTGTTGTTGGAACCCGTACATTTTCAACCCACCGCAATGCAGACACGCTGTCACTTTGGTAGTTCGGTCATCACTCCCCTTCTGCGACCAAATGTTCTGCTAGGCCTGTGCACACCTTGGACCATGTCAAGTTGGGTTCCAACATGGGCAACAGGAGCTGGTTTTGCACCGTTTGCGCTGTCCTGCACCGAACATCCAGGTTTCAAACCTTGATAGTAAAGGATGCGTCCATGCCTTAGCTCTATTGGAGTCTACATGGACATAGCATCGCCTATTTCCTACATGTGTAGCGCAAAAAAAGGCAACTGCCAACAGTAGAACGTTTCCTTACCTTCTTGGGAAACTGGCCAGCATCAAAGGTAACTACCTCAAGTTGTGGCGCTGCCGGCACTGCATGCTGCACCAACGCATAGTAATAGTTTCAAGTCGCAATGCAAACGACTTCGCCACATATATGTTTTTGCAGACTTGATGAATCTTGCATGAGTGTGTGCATGTGCGCGACCTTGCAAGATTGGACTGGTTTGTGTGCTGACATGACAAAGCGATGAGAGACATACAAGGTTGCATTGGAGTTCTGTCGTAGCACTGGACATGCATGAACATGCGATATGCAAGATGATCCTTCAACACTGCACATTACATATAGGAAATTATTGAATGCAGGAGAATGCGCCAACGTGGACCAACGAAATCTAAGACATGCGAAGACACGTGCTGTTCGTGCAATTGAAATGAGTCCCTGGCTAGCACCCACTTGCGAGTGGCGCAAAGGTAGGCCTCAAACAAGGGGGACACTTCTTTTGCACTTCTACCGTTCATACAATTGCCAAAGGAGATGAACAACCTTAAACATCCGTAGTCATTAGAATGATGTAGCGCATACAATAGTATACAATGCCATACAGCTACAGTAGCACAACAGCAA